ACATGAATGAAAAATTTGCCAAGCGCTAATTCGGCACAAATGACCCTGGACAAAAGACCCCAGTCGATTTGCCTAATAGTGAAAATTTACCCGATTTTGGAAAACGGTGAATGTGCCGACTGTAGTTCTTAGACCAAATACTCAGCGAGTTGTTACTCCAAAAGAAATATTTCACTAAAAAAACTAGCAGGAATGTTGTGGGAGATTCATATTCATCATCATGACCATGATCCTTGAAAGGCGGATTCATGATAAATGCAAATGCAGCACTTGTATTCAAATATTTCTTGATAGACGACTAAAACAAATTAACTCTATCGCCCGTAAGCAGATAAAAGACATTGTCTAAATGATTATATGTCATTAATTTGGCTTTTGCTTTGAAAAAGGCTGCTGAAGTTACAACTTGAAGCAATGTTCAGATTTGTGCGCTTTACGTTTCATCTTCACAATGAACATGACCTTGATTCGACCTTGTGAAGGTCATAATGATGTAACCAAGACCTTTATGTACCCTTGAACTATTCTATTGAGTTGTCCGCCACACTTAGTATCAGGTTGATCTCCTTGTAGAATATGTTAATTAATGGTAATATCAAATAACTCCAATCTTGTTCTTATTTATTTCAAGCGCACCAAAAAGAGGGTCCTCCTATTGTCCACATAAGGTAAGAAAATCATATTAGCATCGATCGGTGAAAAAATGCCGTCCAAATTCCGGGAAACAACTTGACCTGGTAGCAGCCTAGCTCAGCGTTAAATTCGCAAACATACGTAAGTACGGAAATAGCATTGGAATTGAAAAGGGTGAATCTTTAATCCAGAACAAGGAAATAAGGTCATGTAAGAAGAGCACTCGAATAGGTGTATCTGTGCTGTTGCAGATCAATACGGAATTTTTTCTACCTCCTCCCCACCGTCTGGTTTCTTCAGGGTTGTATCAAGGCGGATTAAATTGGTCCGCATCAAAAATTCATTCTACCGGAAGATACTCTACCGGGTGTCAATAAAAATAGTATTTTGGTATTCGCGATACGCAGATTGGTCGTTCTTATTTTCAGCGAAAAATGCGTAACGTAGGTAAATACTAATTTACTTCTAAAGGTAGTTATGCAATATAAAAAATTATCACTCTATTTTATAAAAAAATGAAGTCAAGTACATTGACCCTATACTTTCCACGCCTTTAGCGATTGCAGAACCTCCTTTTTTCTCTTATTTTTTTTTAAATTTGCAGAAATAAATGCTTTTTCACATTACGTGTACTTTTATTAAATATTATCTGAGCGAGACTTATCGGTAAAATGTCTCTATTCACCTTTCGCTACTGAAAGCTTGTTTAATGCACTCTGAGTTAATTACCTCAAATTAGTGGTTAAACACAGTGTGCAGATAACAATTCGAAAAAATAACCAGCATTATGGTTGCTATGGTTAATAAATACAAGATATAATTGAAATTGCTTAACTCCCAATTTTTTCTCTATTTAACTTTCACGTTGTGTAAGGGCATCCCCTTTCACATCACTTCAGAAAAGGGAGATTGCCTTAATACAAAAATAGAAGAGGTGTGCGATTGCTTAGAAGAAGACATCGGACTTCATATTTAGAATTTTTGTTCTTATTTTTGTATTCGCCGTTCTATAAACTTGTTTTAATGTCGAAAACAGTTTTTATTTAACTTAAACCCCTTAAATAATGTTTAACTGAAAAATAAATTATAATTAGTAGAATATTTTGGGCAAAACTCGATAAATCCAATTCCCGTTGAACAAAAGTCGATAAATCCAAATTTGACATAAATATAAACAATAACTTTTCAATGATATTGTTATTATAATATCAGAAAATAATCAAAAGAATCCAATAAAATACAGAATAAATAAATATCTGAGACAGCTTTAATATTTTTCTCAATGCTGGTTTTTCACTGATTTCTCAAAACAAGATATTATGGATTTATCGACTTTTGCATAGTCACTCCTCATTTATGAGAATACACCCTGTACAATTGGCTACAATTTTGGTGTCAAACAATGCAATGTAAAAATATAGGCTTGGCTCCTTCTAATCTATTAGAATTCGTTGTCTTTTCGAGATTCAAGTAACTCGGAGTTCTTTATAGGATTGATTTACTTGGTCCAGAGAACTGAATCTGTGCCTACCCCACTTTCACCGGTCTCAAGCAAATCGATAAGAGTGCTCCTGAATTTTTTACCCTCCCACACCCTTCGTGTCTCGTCCGAAATCCGGACTGCCGCCAGTTTTGCCAGGGTCGGGACGGGGTGGGGCTCAAGACGAGTCGATGACCTTTGGCCTAGCTCGGGGTCGAGCACGTGGCTGGGGCGGTATGGAAATGGAACCATGAAATACTTGGGCCGATTTCGTCAAGATTTTCAATTTAATGGTTTTGACCAAATAGCAAATTATACGTTTCCAACCCCAGTAATTTTAGGCATCTATCGGACATACTTCACACATCATTGAGACACGTGCCCTTGAAACCTGAATGATGGAGATATATCTTCAATATATTTGCATCGAATGCGGATAACAGATCCACTGAGCGATGTTGCGAGTGTATATCCGTGTATGCATCGCCGTGCTGCGTTGCCACGTTGCTGGGTTATCAGCACTGTTGGTAGGACGGTAGGCTAGATCGCAATGTTGTCAAATCTGTGGAGACTATGGACTAATTTCATGAGCCTAATTGATCCATTTAATTCTTGTTATATACGTTCGTAGCCACCTTTTTTCAAAGAGGAACTAACCTGTGCCTTTATGAATTGATGACAGCGATGCATAGGAAGTGCAACCTTACACATGAAAAATATTTGGTTACGTCTAAAAATTATTTTAAACGTACATGAAATTCTAATTGCTGAACAACTGTATCTCTGGTCTTTGTTAATATATCCAGAGCTACATATATCATGTAATCAAACAATTAAAAATGATGGAATGCGTGAATAATGTAAGAAAATGTAATGATAAATGTATGATCTAAAGTTTTGTGATCAATATGGCGATACCTTGTTACAACATTTACAGAATAATCGAAAGAAGCTTAAGAAATTATTTTGTATTTCACGTTGATTGAAATTATTAATTTCAATCGCGACTGTTTAGCTCATGTATAAATACGATTATTTTGTTGTTAGAATTATTCATTGTTCCTTTTCTTTTTTTACAATGCTATTTCCGACTTCCTTCCTTGCCGTGGATTTCAGGGAATTCGGGGTACTCGGGGTATTATATTGCCATACCTGTATAAAAAGTATCAGTTCTCTTCTACAAATTGTTTTGTGATTCTTTGAAAACATGCTACACAATAAATATATTTTCTATCACTCGTAATTTGACATTAAAGTACAATATATTATATTATTATTAATATTGCTCAAAACTTGTTTTTCATAATATAGGTACTCGTGAAGTTTTTCAAACTGAAATGACTGATTTTACTATTATCCGGAAACTGCTTCGCAATATACAAAAAATCAAACTTAGATTTTGGCACATTTTTTAACATCGGATATTGAAGAAGCTTGTAGAATTTTTTTTGATTGCTTATGATGTTATAAATCTCAAACATACAACATTGAATAAACCTGATATTTAACAACCCTAGTCATTTCCTTTACATTGAAAGGTTTTGAACTTTTTTTTATAATATTCAAAATAAACAGAGACACTTTTTTGAGTTTTAAAAATGCATATAGAGCCAAAGATATTCAACATAATGTGCCAAAAAAGTGGAATTCTTAAAAAGCAGTGCAATCTTTTTTTAATTTCAAGTTATTTTAGCTGCAACTGCTCAGAATAAACACAAAATTTCTACCATGATTCAAAAAAGGATTCAACTTCTAGTACTAAATATGAGTGCTTTACCAACCTTCCTTAATTTTCTGTCCTTTCCTTCTTAACCCCGATGCATGAAATATTACTTAAATATTTAAAAAAAAAATGTTTGCTAAATATTTGTAGCGACAGGTTTTTTAATATCTAATGAATATTTTTTTATATATTCATAAAATATTTATTATAGATATTTGTTGTATATATAATTTATATATTTTCGCGTTATTTTTCCAAATATTTAGAAAAGATATGAGGAAAGATTTTAAATATCAGTTTTATATATTTTGATGAAATATCTAATATGTAAATGTTTAGAAAATATATGAAGCAACATATTTTCAAGCATCAATCTGATACATATTATCAGTGTATGCTTGGAAATTCTTCATTGGTTATTTTAGCAAAATTTGTAGCAATGCTTTTCTAAAATTGGGTTCATAGAGAAAATTGACTCTAGATGTAATAAATTGTCTAATTTGCTAGAAAAATATCATTAAATAATATTCTAAACATCTTCTCCATCTAATAAAATGCAGTGGAACGATATGGGTGCATTTACTTTTTACTTATTTGTTAATTATAAGTGGTATTTCCATTAATAGGAAAATAAATATTTATTCTATACTATGAACAAATTTTCCATTCATAAAAAAAATTTGTTGAATATTTTCTAAATAATATTCTCCATTGATTGAAAAGTACATATTTGATGAATATTATAAAAGAAACATTGTATTTAAAATATATAAATAATATATATATATATATAAAATATTTATTAAATACAAATATTCATTAAATATATAATATAATAAGATAAAAATATTATTGAATATTGAATAAATATTTCATTAATATTTCGTGCTATCTGGGAATGAGAAAGGGGTATAAAAAATCTAGGGGTAATTTCTTAGTTGATTTAAAACACGTTAATCTCGGATATTCAGACGTGTACTGCGTTAGTTGGCGGACATATTTTTTAGTGTTACAGCATTCCTGGCCATTTTTACATTTTGAAAAAATACGAATCTGGTTCTTCATTAATTAATTAAAAATAGTTTAATCTAATATATACATCACATAAAATTATTATGTAAAATCAATAACAAAAATACCGACAACCAGAACATTTTTATATTTCATGTATTTTGGATTCCATCTATTTCATTCATATATTTTATTCGCAGCAATCTTTTAAACTGTATCTACAACATTTTTTCAATGGTTCTTTTGATTGAATGTTTGTCGATTTTTGTTATATTTAAACGTTCGTTTATTTTAGACTGCCATATACTAATGTGTGTTATTTATTTTCTATATGTTTTTTTTACTCTATTACCAACCGATAAAGAAATGAAATGAAACGACATTGTGGTTGGAGTTACAACGCACCTTATAGTGAACGTTTTTCAGCCTGAGCTAATTTTTAAAAGTCAGAATTCCTTTTTTGAGACATGGTAGAACAGGGATATTTCCAATCATAAGCTTGTATTTTGCAACTCAGGCTAAGTCATTTGATTTAACAGTTTCCTTGATAAAAAAATATTTATTATATAGAAGTTATCAGATATAAAACGATGGTGGAGGATATATCATTCACTCTACATGTGTTCTCTTACTCTAATTTTCTATGAATATATCATAAGCCTGGTGGTATAGCCAGCCATTTCAATCAGTAGAAAAATGAGCACATTTAATGAATCTTCATTTTGATTTGATAGTTATATAGAATAAAATCACTTTCACCTACGGAGAGGCAGAAACGCGCTCCAGAGGCCAGATAGGATCTATAATATCAAGAAGAATAAATATGTTTTCTTTTTTATGGTATCTATCGATCTTTGAACATTCTAGATTAGTTCCATCAATATAGTTTTCTTTGATTAGGTACCTACAATCTTAATACATATGACGCGTATTTCTTCAAATCCATCACACTTACATTATGAGTAGATGGTGATCACTTCTTGGCCACCTCCACGCACCATCAGTACTCGCTCCAAACCTTCCGTTAATACTTCCAAAAATTCCATATCTGCAAAAAACAAGCACTTCGTTATTGGTTTGGAACAATATAAAATACAGCTAAAAGTATGTTTTGAAACGCACAGCGTTTACTTTGTAAGCTCAAGTATCATTCACCTTCGTTAATTGTAGTTGAAAAAAAGTTAGCCACGAACACGTATAACAAAAAAATAAATAATAATAATAGCGTTTATTTGCAGTGCAAAAAAATACAAAGAGAAAAAAATTGAAAATGAAGAAACAGCATGAATGTCCTGCAGGAGTTCTTAACCTAACTATATAAGTTAATATTAATATACTAAGTGACATATAAATCCGATCACCCAGTTTAAATGGTTTTATTTTAATAAAAGTTGGTGAATGTATTTATCTTACTGTAAATAACAAGTGAAAAAATGTTCAGCCTTATCAGTTGGACATTCCGGTTTTTATACTGCTTTTTTTTTAATTCACTAACGCTCTAAAAATGAATATTTCAGCCGCAGTAAAGAATCAACGTTGGCGGATTTTGGTTCTTGACATCCTTTACGATCGGTTACGATGCCTAGAGTACGGGGACCTGTACGATTTCGTCAACTTAGTGAGTTTGATAGGGGCCGTATAGTGGGACTTCGGGAAGCTGGACTTTCTTTTCGGGCAATTGCAGTTAGAGTGCAAAGAAGTGTAGACACTGTAGTTAGGTGTTGTCAGGCATGGCTTCGAGAAGGCCGTACGCAAAGAGCAAGGGGCACTGGACGCCGCCGTAGAACAACAGACCGTGAAGATAGCCGCCTAAGATTATTGGCCTTAAGGGACCGTTTCTCCACTACCAGGTCCATTGCAAATGAATGGTTTGCAGAACACGGAAGACCTATTGGCATGCGAAGTGTTTACCGACGAATGAGAAGTTTTGGCTTGTTTTCATAACGGCCACACTGGGAGGACATTGACCACCTGATCAGACGCATGCCTAGGCGCGTTGGAGAATGCGTAGCACATCAGGGTGCATCCACACATTATTAAAGGTCAAAGGGCTTTAAAGCAGTGCAATCATTTTGAAATTTTTATCATTTACTTATTATGCTTCATTAAGTACTTATACAAAATTTTAGTAAAATAAAACCATTTAAACTGGGTGTTCGGATTTATATGTCACTTAGTATATATTGAATAAAGTCTTGGCAAGCCCATCACAGTATTAAAAAAATAGGATTCTTCATGTAAGGTTTATAAAAGGTATGCTTGCAGCCATCGAAGCTTCTCAGCTGTTTTAATTTTTGTATTAAATGGCATCGATAATGATACTTACAGTTCGATTCTTTCTCCATTTTGGTGTCTTTAGGCGGTCCAGGTAAATTTAGAATAACTAATTGAGCATCGTGGGAACGATTGACTATCACTTCATTTAGCCTAATGGCCGTATGCATACGACGAACATCACCTTCGTCACTGAAATTAAAGAGTAAACACATTAAATTACTTGCTGATTAGTTTATAATAGCTACTATTCTACAACCGCCCGATAAAATACGTTACGATTGCCATATACCTTCCAGTCATTGTGGCTCCTCAGATTAACAATTTAGGTAGATAGGTAGATATACTGACTGACAGAAAAAGGTAAACACCTACGTATGTTTATCCGATTTTAATAATTTTTGACATATATGTTCAGTGTCCCTTACTAGTAAAATGATTTAATTTTATCACTTATAAATCGATAGGTAGAAAATTCTTGGACTCTAATAAACATACGTAGGTGTTTACCTGTTACCAGTATATAAAGATATATTTATCTGTCATAACAAGCAAATATTTGGGTTTTTGGAAATGAACGTTAATTTTGCGTAAGATTAGACAGTATCACGTACTTTTTCAGTGCGTTGTAGAAGAAAATGTTCCAAGACGAGTGGTACTTACGGGGTTTGAGTAAAAAGTAATTTCTTCTTCTTATCCTCGGCAATATTGTTCAGTTCGTTTGCACACGCCTTTTCTTTCTCCGATGAATCCTCCTTTTCCTTTGTCGAATTATCACAATCGTCTTCTTTGGCTTTTTCGTTTATCTGCACCTGGAAATTACGGATAAACCCTCGTATAATAACACAGTGAAAGAGGAGATACGAGGGACACTAGAAAAGACGTCTGCCTAGCCTTGAAAAACAGCTGAAACGCACAAGCATAATATGACAAATAGTGGAATATTTTCTGAAATGCATTGATGTTGGAGGGATTATATTGAAAAATGAAACAATAAAAAAAACGTACGTCTTTTGTTTCATGGCTAGGTAGATTTCTTTTCTAGTACCACACAGAAATTACTCACTTCATTGGTCGGTTCTGTCTCGTTCTCCTGGGTAGCATTGCTAACCGTTTTGTTATCTTTGTTATCTCCTTCTGCATTTGAATTTGGTTCTTCGAATCGCACTTTGGTGGCACCTTTGGCGTCTATGTTTTGATGATGTTGGTCTACTATTGCCTGAACCTAAGATAAACTCCACTTAGAAAGGGAATGGTAATGACAGTTTGGAACGATGATGATCAACAGATGAACTGCACTTAAAAGCTGATCAATTTTTGGTGCGGAAATGTACTGTTGATTACTGTACGTTGGTTTTACAATGGATAAAAACAAGGGGTGGGAATAAACAGAAATTTGAAAAACGATAAGGGTCTACAGGGTGTTGAAGATTTGATTTCAAAATCGAAAAATGTCTCGCCTATATTGTCTCAAAATTTTGTACATGAAGTAACAAGTAAAAAAACATGTTGACCGCTCTATACCATTGGCGTGGAAACAGGGATATTTAGAGCTCAAGACAAGGGAAAATATTTTCTACGTCACCGATGTTGTGAGACATTTACTACATTTTTAGATAGGGGTGGTATTTATTGTAAAATAAATTATCTCTCCTGAAAAATATCGTATATTTTACTGAGGTAAGTATCAGCTTTTAAGCTAGCCGCTAGATGACTTAAATACGTAGTCTTAAGTCAATAATCACATAAAAAAGTAGTGGCGTAACCAAATTTGGGCTAAGCTGATATCAATCTGTAATGCAGAAAATATCAAGGCTTATCAGATTTGCAAGAGATTTTGGAGCGACAGAAACAGTACTGAAACTATTTCCTGCATCTCTGTTTGCGAACCCCCTAGAATATATTATAAAACGTTTCCACATTTTTTTTTGTATTCCATACTATGTGACACAGAAAAGAGAATAACCAGTAAAAGCCTGTCCACACTCACGCGAGAAAAATGAGAAAAAAAGTTGTGATTTTTCAAATAGAATGCTTCAAATTTTATTACATATTTAGATAAACCAATTCAAAAGATGAAAATTGATATAACATACTATGGGGTTTTGGTAATTAGCTACTGAGATGTAAGGTGTCATGTCCATAAAAACCGTCCACTTCGGCAACCCGTCAATCCGCCATTTCGAAATTTGGAGAGATGAATTTTGTATCAAAAAAATGTACATACCTCAGCTTTTATCTTATTTCTTACTTTTTCGAATTTCCATGTTTGTTCGTACAGAGTGGTCAAAAACGCGAATTGTCCTTTTTCTCAAAAGTTTAAAATGCATCACCCTGTATATTTGTACAAGTTTGGAAACACGTTTTTATTATAACGCTCACAAAGCTAATTTTGACAGTTGGTAACTAATCAACAATTTATTTGTTTCCAAGGATGTTGCGATATTTTAGGGAATCAAACCGTTCCATAAAAGACGTGCTAATAACCGAAAAAATAACCGTAAAAACCCTTATGTGTCTAGTATCAAAAAAAAAAAAGATTACAAAAAAGTGAATCCAAACTTGCAGAAATATACAGTGCGAGGCATTTGCAATTTTTGAGAAAAACTAAAATTTGCGTTTTTGACCACCCTGTATGAGCAAAAATTAAAATTCGAAAAAGTAACAAATGAGATAAAAGCTGAGGTATTTCAGTTTTCTTTGATACAAAGTTCAGCACTCCACATTTCAAAATAGCGGACTGGGAGGTTGCTGAAGTGGGGGGTTTTCTAGACAAAACACCTTATATCTCAGTAGCTAATTATCAAAAGCCCATAGTATCTTACATCAATTTTCATCTTTTGAATTGGTTTATCCAAATATGCGATAACATTTGAGGCATTCTATTTGAAAAATCACAACTTTGATATGTAAGTCGAAATTCGGACACCCTGTATAATGGCCAATATTTTAAAAATGTGCAATCAAATGTCATGTACTATATAACATGCCATTAATAGATTTTCCCAAAATGTATTTGTTTATGAGTAATATTCCGTCCACACATGGATGGGTCACCCTATATATACAGGGTGACTTCGAAGTTGAGTCATTTATTTTAACAGTGAGTAGATCTGATCAAAAGAAATGTTTTTTTCCTTTAACATTTTTGTGGTAAAATTAAAGTAACAAAGTTATAGCCCTTTAGAAGTTTGAGTACCGCCCTGTCTCAATAATAATATTATGTGCTCGTGTTTGGCAACAACGGATATACTCCGCCTTATCGGTTCATCGCATCGGAAACAAAAAAGCGAAAGAATTTGAAACGATGTTTTTACTACAATGTACAATTTTATTCAGTTGTATTTAGCCGATGTGTCAGTCGGTAACGCGTGAGTGAATAGTGGTGTTTGTTGCGTGGCTCAAACGAAATAAAAAATGGCTAGATGTTTACGAAAATGCTGAATGTAGTACAAAGGGCTCGTGAATCAGGTGACTTGAGACCTCACAGGGGAGGGCATGCCGGTGCTCCAAGACCGCACGATCAAATACAGGTCCGTACTGAAATACTTGTCGGGAGCATACTTTATAAAACAAGGTAACATTTTTTTTTATTTTTACACACATATTTTGGTTTATCTTCCTTCTACAATCATTATCTGAAAATTAATGACAACTTCAAAGTCTGTATAAAAAGTATAAAAATAAACTAAAAGCCGACGATGCGTGGAAACGTATTAGTACCTTACCCATTGGAGAATTAAAAAGCAAAAAAAAGTTATTAGCCAGCTACCAATTAATTAAAAATAGAAATATTTATATAAAATTAATTCATTGTATGAAAATAAAGACAAGATATCGAAAAAAATCTGGTGCTGGTGTCGACGACATTTAATTCTGCGTCCATCATCATCGCACGAGAACTGAATTGAGAACGTTGCGAGTGTGGACCTAAAGAAGTTCTCGCCGAGATTTTCGCTGAGATTCTTGCCGAGATCATCGCGTTAGTGTGGAGCGGCCTTAATAATAAATAATTTTTTTAGGTTATGTTTAGGTTAGGAAGAAAAACGATCAGCCTTTCAGCCATGTCGATAAAGCGGTTTTTGTGATATCGTCAAGTAAGTTGTGTTACGCAGCTACATTTGGCATTTGATTATCGTACAATAGGTTATGAGGAGCTGCTTTAATCTGTTTATTATGCATAGAGTGAACATATGAGAAAATCTCCAACAGCTTAGCGAGTTTGATATGGGGCAAATAGTGGGATTGTGTGAGGCTGGGTGGCCCTTTATACAGGGTGACTTTGAAGTTGAGTCATTAATTTTCAGATAATGATTGTAGAAGGAAGATAAACCAAAATATGTGTGTAAAAATAAAAAAAAATTAAAAAATAAATTTTACCTTGTTTTATAAAGTATTTTATACAAGTATTTCAGTGCGGACCTGTATTTGATCGTGAGGTCTTGGAGCACCGGCATGCCGTCCCCTGTGAGGTCTTAAGTCACCTACATTAACAAAGGCACGAGGGGTTGGTTGCACTCGATTGGGAAACCGATCCGCATAAACATGTGCCATTTTTGATTTCGTTTGAGCCACGCAACAGACACCACTATTCACTCACGCGTTACCGACTGACACTGACTGTATACAACTGAATAAAATAATTGTAAAAACATCGTTCCAAATTCTTTCGCTTTTTTGTTTCCGATGCGATGAACCGATAAGGCGGATTATATCCGTTGTTGCCAAACACGAGCACATAATATTATTGTTGAGACAGGGCGGTACTCAAACTTCCAAAGGGCTATAACTTTGTTACTTTAATTTTACCAGAAAAATGGTAAAGGAAAAAAACATTTCTTTTGATCAGATCTACTCACTGTTAAAATAAATGACTCAACTTCGAAGTCACCCTGTAGATTTGGCACGAGGTAAAAGTAGCCTGATATGAGATACCTGAAGAGGAAATCGATCATCTGATTAGGAGTATGCCACACGTGTTTCTGAGTAGATGAGACATCGCGGAGGTCCAACAACTTATTCATTTTTCACATTTTGGTTGGATTTTGTTGTAATGTTGTTATTACTGGGTGTTCTTTTTGCTATGTCAGTATGCATAAATGATTCAGAGAGATTGCTCACATATTCTAGGATACTTGAAATATACAACTTCTGTATATCGATCAACAGTGGGCCAAATATTCTCAGTGCTTCCACTGTTACGATATTGGTAGGACGAACACCTTGCATTCGTGGTAGAAAGTTTCCCACCCGACTTTAATCCATAATCATATTTGTTTAATGATTTTTACTCAAGTCAAAGTTTTTTAGGATTATTCTGAATAAAGAAGGTCAGTACTTTTTCTGTTGACTGTTTTCGAGTTATTTGGAAAACCCTGAAATTGCCCATTTCACTGCTTGAAAACTCGGTCATAGATCATTATTTTCTGGGTTGCCAAGACACCTACAAGACTCCGAGTATTTTGGGCTCAGCTTATTTTATAGCATTTGTTAATAAAAAGTGCTTAATGTTACCACAACGCGTTATCGACAATTACATAACAGTACTTTAAAATAAACTAAGCCTAAAATTTTCTTTGAGGTCTTGTAGAGGAAGATTTGAGCATTGATTAAGATACTTGGCAACCTTGAAAACAATCTTTTTTAACTGAGTTAAGCAATAAAATTGTCAGACTCCAATTGGCTTATAACCTGATAACGGTAAACCTTATAGAACAGTTGCTGAAGACATTCCTTGTCAGGAATGACCCAAAAAAATGTAAAAAATGAACGAAAACGATATTTTTTGTAATAAAAAAAAATAATAAAAACATATAAACGTCAGGTTACCCACCGATAACCTCTTGATCCGTGTTAAGCGTGAAAATTTCATCCACGAATCCCAAGTTTTCGTCTTGTCTAATATAAACAATTCAAAAATGGTTTTTTCATGTTTTTGTTCAGAAGATCAGAAGCCACACATTATTGGACATCCCGGTATAGGCAAGTGGCCAGATTTACTCGGTATTTGAAAAAGGGTTACGCCACTGGAAAGAGTAGGGCGAAGAAGAGGTACGATGTAAACTAAGAATAAACGTGCAAGAACGAAATAAAACGATGGTTCTAGCGTTTAGCATAACTTGCTGGCAGGTTTACCAATGGTAACTTCTCTTCCTCCCCAAAGTCCGACATCGCTTCCACCTTTTCGCATGTGAAACATAATTTGAATTAATGGCAACATCATCGATTGGGAAATTCCCAGAAGTCGGAGAAAATAACAAAGTATACATACTACCAGCAGTAACGTCACTCACTGTACGTCCAAAAACTAATTTTTTTTTCGTTTTTTTACCAGCACTGGATCGATTATCAAAACCTACAGTATTTTTGTTCTTCAAAATTTCATCAGTGGCTGACGCATTGACATACGATATAATAATTATATAATAAAATTGGGCAAGAGAAATTGCTTCCTAAAGCTTCCCGAAGTGTCCGCTCCAATTTCAAAAATTTAAACGCCATTTGTCGCAAAAACATATTCATTAAATAGCCTTATCCTCTTGATTGCTCAATTTCCGAACTTATTTGTTTATGTCGTTTTCCTATATTTCGGTTAGTTTATTTTACACGACCATTTATGGCAGCAGTACTTGAAAACTGTAATTTACGGATATTTCTTAATATACCTCCATAACGAATAAAAAGATTGATCTGCGGTTGTGATAGGATTTTTATGCACTTTATATTTAGTAAAAAAATGATACCGTTGTATTTGAAAATTTCCGATAAATGAAAAAAAAAACACGCTGACAAAGAGCGGCATCTAGCGTCCACAAAACTGAACTAATCTGACGAGATCATTAGGATCGCAGGTGAATACTCTTTCAAACGAAATCAAGATCATCAACATCGCTGCAATCAAACAAAAGTTATGTGACTTTTTCAACCCTTTCCCTTAAACTTAACTATGAAAAAATGACATAAACAAGAAAGTTTGGAAATCAACCTAAAATCAACAGCGCTGTCTGCGGTTGGTCGTGGTTACAGGTAAACGGAAAGTAGACTGAACAAATATGCTTCCAAACTAGGGTCATTTATTCACTTATACAGGGTGTCCGCAAAGTTGGGGTTTTCCTTTTCAGAAACAACTACCCTTGAAATAACAAAGATAATGTGTAGTGAAACGAGGGCGACCAAGTAAAAAAAAATAAAGGAAAAAGTACTCACTCTCCAGTTGACGAGAAGGGCTAAGTACGTCTCTGCCCGAAATCATACCGCTCCAACAGAAAATGAAATCAGCTGATGCGCTACCGAGCAGACGCAGGCAAACAAGGAAGGCAAAATGTTGCGTAAAAAGTCTAGGTATTGCATCCCGTCAAATCGATTTGGGAGAATAAATGGTCCAATGAGCATACCGTTCACCATGCCAGCCCAAACATTCACCGAAAATGTGCCCGACGGACAGCGTGCGGATTTTCTACTGACCAAACATGAGTGTTGCGAAAGTTATTCACCCCATTACGCGTGAACGTAGATTCGTCTGTCACCAATATGCACTTAAAAAAGTCCGGATTATTGTCATGTTGATGCAACAACCACTCACAAAACCGCACTCTTGCTGGAAAATCGTCAGGTTGAAGGGCTTGTACACGTCGGACGTGAAACGGATACAGCCCCTCTTCACGCAGCGTTTGCCACACTTTAGTTTTTGATACTTGCACTTCTCTAGCCACGTCTCTAGTGCTTGTCGAGGGATTCTCGTCTACGCGATTACCTCTACACGCGTGACCGTAACCGTCGGTTGAAGGTTGCATACTGACCTGACACACTGACCCAGTTCTGTCGTCGGGTTGAGCTAGTGTCCTAGTACTACTCGGGGATGTCGCGGCTACAGGACGGTATTCAGATATTTTGATGTTGCAGAGCCCTTTATCTCGGTTCCCTTAAGACATTGGTGTATATGGTAGTAAGAAAAATTGCTTATGTTTTCAAGATCTACACGTCGTGTAAAGGGAAACCCCAACTTTGCGGACACCCTGTATAATAAAGCGGATGGACCATCAGAGGCCATGCCCCTTGTCAGGATAATTATTAAAAAATCGTAGTTACTGCCATGCGATGACAAATTCCTTCTACCGTCACTCCCATCCATGGAACTCAAGGACATAGACATGGCTGCGAGTCACTCGTTATTTTGTCAATACGCTTTGTAGACATCGGTCGTCGACATTAAAATTATCATCCTACCTCACGTAAGTTATCAAGTGAACGAACTATTGTTTTCTTTAATTTTAAAAATTGTAGATTTATAACGCCATCTGGAACATTTGGCCTTGCATAAGAAGTCTATTTCAGAAATAAGACAGCGCAATCCGCCATCTATCATCCAGAATTGATCACTGCGGAAAGCGCACGGCTGTCCATGGTTTGCTATCTTTTTGGTCATATTTAAGGTTAATTTGGACTGTTTAAATTGTACAGGTTATTAACAACTTATTTGATATCGATATAAAACTCATTAAAAGTATGTTGAAAATGTTTTTACGAATAGATTCTTAATTTACGATAGCGTTTTAAGTAATGTTCATTGATTATTTTTTTATGAGAATATGTTATCATAATTATTTAATATTTTATTTTGATGAAAGACCTTCATAGGTAAGCGGATATTTTGATCACAGGTTATACCATTGATTTATTATATGCAGGCTTGTACCTTGCAAGGCCAATCGGAAGAGTTTGAATGAATGAATCATGAAAACTTAAACGGGCCCTTGTCCACCTCTGCATTCCTTAGACGTCAAGCCTCGCCATTCTAGCAAAGGTGAGTATGCCCTCTACACGATCGTTTGTAATCGTCGATTGTGAAGAGGAACCATTCAATGGGTGCTAAAAGTATTCTCGACCACGCAGTGACATTACTGGTTGTTGTGTGTATACTTTCGAAAATATGGAAATAGCTACTTACCACGCCCATGGATTCCTTTTTGTTCAAACGGAGTTCACGGAGCATCTGATTACGTTGCTCCATCATTAAGGTGCGTTCATAGGTATATGCGGATATATCGTGATTCATCTGAAACAAGGGTTATTTTTAACACGCTTTTATTAGCTTGGCCTGTATGTATGTATTTAACGGAATCTTTGAGCATAATTTTTACCAATTTCCAGAAGTTCGATTAATTTGAAACTTCGCACACGTATCAAGGACCAATGGCAATACAATAATCTGATAACAGTTTTCCATTACCCTTACAAGTAAAAAGCAGATATGTTAATAAAAAGCCACGGATTTCAAATGCCGCTTCAGGAATAGTGAAACTACAAGCTTCTGTAGCAGAGCGCTGGTCTTGTGACCCAGAGGTCGTGAGTTCAATCCTCACAGGTGGCAGATTGTGGTGAAATTTTTTTTTTCAATTTTTTCAACACGCTTTCGTTAGCTTGGCCTGTAAATATGTATGTATGATCGTAATGGAATTATTGAGCATAATTTTCACCAATTTCCAGGGGTTGATCAACCTGAAACTTCGCACACGTGTCAAGGACCGATGATAATGCAATAATTTGATAACAATTTGCCATTATCCTTATTAGGACAGCCAGGATTGAAAATTCTTTTAGAGATCCTCTTTAGGGGAGTAAGAGACAGAGAGCTATCGCGCGATCTGCGCATGCGTGCAGTTTCGAACTCGCTCTTTTAATAACTTAAATTAAATTATAATTTTATTTTGCGGTCATTAATTATAATTGATTGTTCGACCATCTACTACTGCAATATAAAAGCTCTTTTTAATAGAAAATTATTTTCTACTTTTCAGTTCGGTTAGCAATAAAAGCGTGTTTTTTTAGTTTTTTTTAAGATATTATAATATATATAAAGCTCCAGCTGTATTTTTTTCATAATCACGATTATTGGATCCCGTTACCACGAATCAAGAGGCTACTTCAGGCGGTAACCCAGTCAAATTTGGTTAAACAATTTGTTGAAACAAATTACAAAGTTGTCTGGTTATTCCAACCGCGCCTTATTAAAAATTCTTGTCTTGTATTGAAGATGTCAATTATTTAAAACTTTTAAGGCTTTAAGGCCTGATATTATTGTTGCCTCGCAGGAATAAAAATTTGCGACAAATTCAACCAACGAGAATGCGTTTTTGAAGTAATGGATCTAATGAATATGTCGATTTCTTGAAAAAAAGTCTTGAACCAGAGAAAAATTACACGATTTATGTAATATGGGCCCTTAATTCTCATACCATATCAAGAAATACTTCATACTATGTTACCTCGTTTAGCTACAAAAACCTATATTTTCATTTCACAACCCTCGCGAATACGGCATCACCACCAATCTAAAAACATGATTTGCGACTATATCAACCACTACTGAGCATTTTATTGAAAACAGCAGTATCACTCCTCACCTGAGAAATAATTTAGAAAATTGATATGTTTTTAATAATCCATGAGCGCGTTCATTGGGGTTGGCTGCAAAAACCTATTTTTTCTCTTTTTAGGTTAGTAACAAGTCAAAGCATATCATTAGTGTTTGTCCTCGCTGTACAAGATTCTGCTTAATAAACTCTTTTAAGATTACGTTTTTTCGATTTTTATGCTCAACATGTGCTAATTTTCCTGGCTTATCAGAATGACACCACAGCCACCATAAGTGTACTTGTAATGTTAAGCATCATTTACGTTTCTAAACATGTGAGATGAGACGCCAAATACCAAAGCAATTATACTAAGTGACATATAAATCCGAACACCCAGTTTAAATGGTTTTATTTTAATAAAATTTTGTATAAGTACTTAATGAAGCATAATAAGTAAATGATAAAAATTTCAAAGTGATTGCACTGCTTTAAAGCCCTTTGACCTTTAATAATGTCTGGATGCACCCTGATGTGCTACGCATTCTCCAACGCGCCTAGACATGCTTCTGATCAGGTGGTCAATGTCCTCCTGTGGTATCTCATTCCAGGCAACCACCAACTCCTCTCGAAGTGCTTATAGAGTCTGAGGAGGGCGTTGCAAATTGAGCAATCTCCTACCCATCATATCCCACACGTGCTCAATTGGGGATAAGTCGGGAGATCTTGGTGGCCATGGTAACAATGTGACATCATTATGTTGAAAGAAGTCTATTGTGACTCTTGCAACATGTGGTCGGGCATTATCTTGTTGGAAAGTTGGATCTGCCAGGGTGTCAAGATAGGGTAAAAGATGGGGTTCTAGGACTTCGTGGATATAACGCTGCGCGTTCATGTTACCTCTGATGAAGATTAAAGGTGACCTGGAACCAAAAGCTATAGCACCCCAAACCATAACTCCAACAGTGTGATGAACATGTCTTTCAACAAAAAACTGTGTATTCCTCCTTTCACCACGTCGCCTTCTAACCCTGGCACGACCATCGTGCATGCCTAAACAAAATCGAGACTCGTCACTAAAGACAATACTGTTCCATTCCTGATCCCAGAGTGACCGTTGCCTGCACCACTCAAGGCGATTACGTCGGTGTTCTCGAGTTAAAGGGAGGACCCAGTGTGGCCGGTATGAAAACAAGCCAAAACTTCTCATTCGTCGGTGAACACTTCGCATGCCAATAGGTCTTCCGTGTTCTGCAAACCATTCATTTGCAATGGACCTGGTAGTGGAGAAACGGTCCCTTAAGGCCAATAATCTTAGGCGGCGATCTTCACGGTCTGTTGTTCTACGGCGGCGTCCAGTGCCCCTTGCTCTTTGCGTACGGCCTTCTCGAAGCCATGCCTGACAACACCTAACCACAGTGTCTACACTTCTTTGCACTCTAACTGCAATTGCCCGAAAAGAAAGTCCAGCTTCCCGAAGTCCCACTATACGGCCCCTATCAAACTCGCTAAGTTGACGAAATCGTACAGGTCTCCGTACTCTAGGCATCGTAACCGATCGTAAAGGATGTCAAGAACCAAAATCCGCCAACGTTGATTCTTTACTGCGGCTGAAATATTCATTTTTAGAGCGTTAGTGAATTAAAAAAAAGCAGTATAAGAACCGGAATGTCCAACTTATAAGGCTGAAAATTTTTTCACTTGTTATTTACAGTAAGATAAATACATTCACCAACTTTTATTAAAATAAAACCATTTAAACTGGGTGTTCGGATTTATATGTCACTTAGTATATTTGCATTTGTATCTCCATTGTATCGGATATTCAGGTTCACTCACCATTTCAACGACTTCGACCTCGGCTTCTATCCTCAAATGGTACAAGAACGTCTTCAAATCCTTCTTCATTTGGATGGAGTTATCTTCCATCTGAGCAACGGTAAATATCCTCATCTTACAGTTCTTCCAAGTGCGATGTTGCTTCAGCAAGAAGGGCAGAAGCATGAGAAGACCACCATCGTGGACTATCCACCAAATGTCGATGTTGCCATTCACTTTATCGGTCGAGTCTGGGAAGAAGTTGATGCCTTTAGGCACTAGGAGGGCCATTCTGGCCGAAGTGACGTTTCTGACAGCTTGCAAGAAGATCTGCCATGTGCGGTCATCTTCACATTTCCTCCAGCCGTAAGGCCAACCTAAGATGACAGTGTTGGGCTTCAGCCCGCCCAGGCCTGCGGATTGAATCCTGAAAGCAAAGGGTTGCCGATTTGTGGGGATTGATATTTACTGGGGTAAAGCGCTTCTCAATCTACAGACAAATTGGAAATACTTTTTCCTTTGCCTTTAATGTCCCTATTTTTACTGTTCCGTAGAAAGTGAAATCGCCCACCTTGTCTGCTACAGTCAGACCGTGATTACGTCATTTACACTCAATTATCGATTGGACAATTACTTTTTCATAATACGGCTACAACCTGTTTCCTGTAGGGCGCGGCACTCCACTATAATGCTTCTGCTAGGTGGTAATAAATTGCATTTTATTGTCATTTACTGCTTGCCCCATATTGAACGTAACAGGGAGAGACTTTGATGAAAATGAAAGCTGTTAGAAGATTAATTTATCAGTGCAAGCAGCTATGCTTATTTTTCGAGATCTGTGAAGAAAAACGGCGACTCTGCAGTTAGCTCCCTTCAAATAACGGAGTTTCTAGAGTCTTGTTACTGCGGAAAATCTAAATAACGAAGATCACAACGAAACAGCAAAATAAGAGCACTAAAACCTATCTGAGTTCGCGTCCCACAAAAAAGTAAAGGTCGAGATCCATGAGACAGAACATGATATTCCTACATATTCTTCGACACTGAATCCGAATCCGGAATCAGAAGTTTCTAGATGTCTATAGTTCACCCCCGAGCCCAAAAACTACCCCTAGGATGCGTGAAAATTGAATTTCAGATGTCAGATGCTGGACCATGATATTCCTAAGTATCTTTCGATGTTGAATCTGAATTTGTGATCGAGAAGGTTCCTACACCCCTAGACTCAATCCTGGGCCCAAAAACCACCCCTGGGTGGGGTGAAAATTGAATTTCGGATCCCACATGCTGGACCATGGTATCTCCATACCCATACCCTCAATCCGAATTTGGGTTCAAAGGAAATCTCACACCGCTGGAATTCACTCCGGAGCCAAAAACTACCACTAAAACTGAATGTTCACTTTGTTCCGTCCTAGGAGGAGATTTTTTTTCAAGTTTAAGGCAAATATACGGGGAATTCTATGATGTGTGAAATATGTCTGATAAATTGGAAGTGTATTAATATATTAACATCAAAGAATTGCGATACAGCCTCTTTCTCCCACTAAAAACCCCTAACCCTCCAACTTATTATCCCTAAAAGATATTTCAAAAATGATCAGGATCCTTTGAAACGTCAAGACAGGAAAATTGAGCCAAATTTATTTTTTGGTTTTTGGACACTAGTAATTTGAATTTCTCTTTATTAATGGTAGAGTGCCCAACTGTTTTCAACGATTTTTTTTTTTTGGTAAATTGCATAGTTTCTTGACTGTATAATTTCACAAGTATTATATGTTTCTTTCTCAGTGATTTAGTATTGTGTTGAACATAAACTCATTGAACCTTCCTTTATAAAGTTAGGAAGTTCGTGTCAGTCAGTTTCCTCCTGAGATTGTGGTGTGAGCGCCATTTGTTTGTTGTTGTTTTGCTAAGGGGAAGGGGTGGCTTCCGCTACAAGCAAAGCTGGAGGAGTGTGTTGTGGTTCTCCGCAATGCCTCCCACGCTGAAGATCAGAATCCCATTAGAAAATGGACGGGGTAGCACCCAAACCGAAACAACTAAACGTAAGGTACTATATGAAGGGGTACTAGTGTTTGGCACCTAATATCCCAGAATCTGGAGGAAAGTGACTGACCCGAAACACCTAACTTTATAAATAAAGGTTCAATGAGTGGCCTGAAGAAGATATGTTCGATAGAAAACCAAATAAGTGAGAAGAACCACAGAGTTTTTTTTCGTTATTTGGCATAGTAGTAACCCTGTGTGAAAATTTTATCAAAGCCCGACTCGTCAAGGATTAGCGGACACAGAGACAAACACAGAGATGGACTGACGGAAACAAGTGACATGACTTTTTGTGATATACATGTCATATAACTTGCTTAGGCCGGTTTTCTGTTCGTTTATCGTTCTGAACTGTATACGCTTTCATACTCATTTTACCGTATTATCGTTATTTTTCGTAAATATATTTTACTTTACGATGAATCGGAAATTGAGGTAAAAAAATCATCCACCCTTGAATTCGATTGATGGATGTTAAATCGTTGTATCGTCAGAAGCGTATTTCGACAATCCGGGGCATCTTTTTTGTACCAGCGTATACATGTAAGGACCAAGTTCACAGCACGGCATATGATCTCTAACATACAATACAAAATATAAAATATGCATTTCAAGATATATACAGTATTGTTCAATGAAAAAGCTGTTACCGCAGTTTTCAACTTGAAAACTCACCGTTTTCAGTGGCATAACTCACTAAGTAGATAGACGTTACACACGACGGCACTCGATGTTGAATGAAGAGTGTCGTCGCTGGCTATACAGGGTGACTTCGAAGTTGAGTCATTTATTTTAACAGTGAGTAGATCTGATCAAAAGAAATGTTTTTTTCCTTTAACATTTTTCTGGTAAAATTAAAGTAACAAAGTTATAGCCCTTTACAAGTTTGAGTACCGCCCTGTCTCAATAATAATATTATGTGCTCGTGTTTGGCAACAACGGATATACTCCGCCTTATCGGTTCATCGCATCGGAAACAAAAAAGCGAAAGAATTTGAAACGCTGATCACGATGTTTTTATTCAGTCAATGTGTCAGTCGGTAGCGCGTGAGTGAATAGTGGTGTTTGCTGCGTGGCTCAAACGAAATAAAAAATGGCACATATTTATGCGGATCGGTTTCCCAATCATTATCTGAAAATTAATGACTCAACTTCCAGATCCATTATCTGGATAAATATAGCCGGCGTATGTAAAGCGATGTCGGGTTTTTCGCCAACATTTACGACATTTTTAAGCAAATTGTTCATTCAAATGAGCGATATTTAGTAAAAGGGCGTTGTTACAGAATTTGAATGTTATCGATCACGTTAAATTTAGAACAAGCGACATTGAATCTCTCCGGTATCAAATTTCGTGCAAACATAATTGAATTTGAATAAGTAATTATGCGGTGCTAATTTTATCCCGATGTTGAATTAAATTTTCAGTGCTATGCATGTTATATCCGGTTCCTGTACAGATTGAAATGGTTATCAGGTGGGAACAAATTGAGGATTATTGGAAATTTTACTTCACACATATAGGTCCATAGGTCAGAGAATTATAGCATACTATATACATTGTGTAAACGTTATGGTAGTCATAATTGAAATGGGTAATAGCGGGGGGGTCAAAACAGGTCAAAAAGTTCATATGACCGATGGTTCAAAAGTCAATAGATTTTTGTGTAAATGGCTTTATAGTTTACAACTTTACAATCTTACTAATTTTTATAATCTAATCTAAAACGTTTTTAAATTGGGTAATTAACAAATAAATGGCATTAAGTTTTTCTAAGTTAAGCCAAAATTTGTAGCCAGTAAGTAAGTTTCACTAAATTGAATATTTAAAACACACATGACAACAGCGCGTCGGACATCATCACTCGTATCAAACCGGCAATCGATCGCAAACGGTAACAGTGGTTAGTATGTTGTTTTATTTTTGTTCGCGTACGTTGTCGAGAAAAAATTGTTAATGCGTCTGAAATAATAAATGGACAACTTCGAGGACCTAGAGTAAGAAGAAACTGGGTTCGCCGTAATGAAGCTTTTGTGGAAAGTGCAGGACGACATTTTGAACACCTTCTTTAAATACAAAAAAGTGCAGTGCGGGTTTTAAAAAGACAAACGACGTATGTATCAAAATTGTGTTCCCTATTTATAAATGGATTTTTTTAATACGTTCAATAAACTTTCACACACCAGGTGAAGTGCTGAGATAGTTAGTGGTAAGTCCGTTTTTTTGATTTGTTTGCATTTTACGAGTACATTATCAAATAATGAAATAATGCCTAAGAGCCAAAAATAACAAACTCCATCTTTATCTACACTGCGTTCCGTCGTAATTTGCGTCTGGCATTGCGGCGTTGTCAGATTTTATTTTACTTTAAAGTCGCTTTTCTCTAAAAAAATGCCGTTTTGACCCCCATGTTATATGAAACTTTTTGCTTCTTTCAACCCCCTCTATCACCCATTTAAATAATGACTATCATAACGTTTGCACCCTGTATATTAGCATCCTATAGGGATACGCAGGATGTTTCAAAAACATGGAGCAAACATTGACGGGGTGATTTTTTAGGTTATCCTGTAATTATTTTGTCTTTTGAGGGCTTAATTATTATTGTCTTGTTTTGGAGACACAGGTCCCTAAACGGGGCTTTAAGGAACCTTTGTAATGATTTCTACTTATTACGCCACTCTCAAGTAGTAGAAGCATTGCAGTAGCGGAAACATTCTAAAATGAGATATGTTTTTTGGCTGTTATACAGGGTGTTTCAGTTTATTGTTGCATAACTTTAAGATTCGATAGAACTTTTCAAATTAATGCATAAAGTCTATATAAATATGGGTCGAAAAATGCGTGGCTTCCGAAATACAGGGTGCTTAAATTTACTTGAAAACATAAGCAATTTTTCTTAGTACCATATACACCAATGTATTAAGGGAACCGAGATAAAGGGCTCTGCCACATCAAAAATATCTGAATACCGTCCTGTAGCCGCGACTCGCGACATCCCCGAGTGGTACTAGGACACTAGCTCAACCCGACGACAGAACTGGATCGGGGTCAGTGTGTCAGATCAGTATGCAACCTTCAACCGACGGTTACGGTCACGCGTGTAGAGGGGCTGTATCCGTTTCACGTCCAACGTGTACAAGCCCTTCAACCTGACGATTTTCCAACAAGAGTGGTTGTTGCATCAACATGACAATAATCCGGACTTTTTGAAGTGCATATTGGTGACAAACGAATCTACGTTCACGCGTAATGGGGTGAATAACTTTCGCAACACTCATGTTTGGTCAGTAGAAGATCCGCACGCTGTCCGTCAACAAACATTTTCGGTGAATGTTTGGGCTGGCATGGTGAACGGTATGCTCATTGGACCATTTATTCTCCCAAATCGATTGGACGGGATGCAATACCTAGACTTTTTACGCAACATTTTGCCTTCCTTGTTAGAAGATGTGCCATTAAGTGTAAGACAATCAATGTGGTTTCTGCACGATGGTCATATTTGTTACCTCTGTTCGTGGTCTGCACCACCGCCGGCGTCTGCTCGGTAGCGCATCAGCTGATTTCATTTTCTGTTGGAGCGGTATGATTTCGGGCAGAGACGTACTTAGCCCGTCAACTGGAGAGTGAGTACTTTTTCCTTTATTTTTTTTTACTTGGTCGCCCTCGTTTCACTACACATTACCTTTGTTATTTCAAGGGTAGTTGTTTCTGAAAAGGAAAACCCCAACTTTGCGGACACCCTGTATTTTCGATAATACACATAACGAATAACTCAACGAGTGCCTGTTCCGAATGCAGAGGGATAATTGATGCCTGACGGTGCGTGTATCCGCGCATGCAGGCTAGATCCCAATGTTATAAAATCTGTGGAGACTATGGACTAACTTGAGAGGCATGATCCACTTAATTCCTTTGTTATCCACGTTCGTAGGCAACTTTTTTCAAAGAGGTACTAGCCTCCTTCATGAACTGATGAAAGCGTCGCATAGGAGGTGCAGATTCAACTTACTTAGCGCCATTGTTCGATATGGAATATTGTTATCGATTTTTGAATAACACTTTATACCCTAGAAACCATAAATCTAAAAAAGTATAGCAAAAGTTCACTTACAAGTGCGACAGCCCGTCGGAAATATTTCTGGCTACAAGGATCTCGGCAAAACCTTTCACCCTTTCCTCTTCCATGGTTTTGTTCAGACTTTGCTTAGCTGCCATAGCTTCACCACAACAACGTGTGAAATCCCCACCAATCACAGATGCGCATATTGTCAACCCTTTGCCTGGAAACAATTTAATAATTATTGCTAATTGAAATACAGGTATTATGTAATGTACTATTTTTCAAAATAGCTACCGGTTTTGCTACTTACCAGCTTTTAGCTGGGCTGCGAAAGATATCAATTTCCTGTACTTTGGCAACAAATCTGAGGTCAATTTGACCAAAATTAGTATCTGTGGTCTCCAGTTCTTGGTATGTGGAGGGCCTTCTTCAAGCCGCAGTAAAGAATACCGAGCTGCAGATAAAGCCAAACCCCGAATTCCGTCACCCCATTCCTTCTCAGCTCTAAAAATATTTGTCTGTTAGGGAAGAACCGCAAAATATTTCTTTTTTATTAGGTTCCGCTTTACATAGCGAGGTGTTTCAAAATTGTACAGGATGTTTCAGAACCACGAAGAGAACATTTCAGCCATTTTAAGACTGGTTTCGTAAATACAGACTTTTATTTGCTTGGCCTGTATGTATGTAAAGGAATCCAATTTGAACTAACGATACCGCAAAAAAATGGTGTCGCCCAAATTGTAGGAAAAAACAACTAAATTAGAGTTGTGAAATATCTGCCAACACTAATTCCATGTTCATCTTCTTTCTCACAGTTTTGTTTCGTTCAAAATTTGAGTAATGTAAATTGTGTACGTCAATTTTAAAACACCCGGTTATGCCAGTGTACAAAGGGTACTATAAAGTTTTGCAATATGACTTAACAAACGGACGCAGGAGGCTGCATGTTACTGCATGTTGAGGCATGTCCAGTCAGAAACCGTCTACCACCTACGGATGATCACAAAATCCATAGTCAAGAGAAAAATTTCTCTTGGTACGAGATATGAACCCGTGTAGCGCACGGCGAGCGGTCAGCAAACCGAAGAGTCTAGCGCTGCGGTCACCGCTGCTGCCTAGAACTTTGACGAAGATCGGAGAGTGGCATCCCAACAGATAGAGGAGACCTTACACCTTCATACAAATGCACTTCATTTAATTCTGCATGACCATCTACACGTAAGAAAACTTTGTTCTCTCTGGATACCGCATAGTCGTACGACTTGGTGCCGAAAGATGCTGAAAATGTTTGATAAAGGGCGATCTCGGTATGGGAACAGCATCGTGACAGGGGACGAGAATTGACTCTATTATTACGATGTGCCGACCAAGGCTCAAAACAAAGTTTGGGCCGTTGATGATGAGGACACACCCGTAGCTGTCAGAAAATCCCGATCTGTTAAGAATAAAAAAGATAGCTGTATTTTTCAAATGGAGCGGGATTGTGGAGCGTGTCGTTTTGGACGCACAGAAGACAGTCACAGCTAAGTGGTACCCGGAACAGTGCCTGCCTGAAGTCTATAAAAAACCTCCGGCCAAAGTCAAGAATGGACACTTGGTACCTCCACCATGACAACGTTCCAGCTCATCGCGCCAAAGCCTGCACCGAATATTTGACCACTACTGCAAAACTTTTAGAGTACTTTTATATGCCACCAATATAGGATTAAAAAACAATGTCTTACCCTCTGTATTCGATGTATTTGTAAATGATTCCAGCCATGGCCATAGCGATGAGGGCCAAGTACCATGAGGTCATGAACATAACAGCAATGCACAATGACAGCCCAGTGAAAGACAGGCACCAATGGTAGTATTTGAACCTGGGTCTCCAATTTGGAGTCCGAAGTAGAGTTTGAAGCGCGCAGGCTAGATTCACAAATCCGTAGCACATCAAGAAAAACATGGAGAGCAATGGTGCCAAGATGTCTACATTTCCGAGCAGAATCCCACATTGACAGATGAGCAGAGTGAGCAATAGCGCCCTAGTGGGCTCTCCTCTGCTAGAGCTGACAGCGAAAGGTGCTAAGAATGGGATGATGCCGTCTTTTGCTATAGCCTGAAGCAAACGTGGAGCTCCTGTGAGCGACTGCAGCCCTGCGCCTAGGGTTGAAAGTACAGAACCAATCAGGATCACCCATTGGTTAGGCCAAGCGATGTTTGCTACTACCAACTTTCCGCCTATCGATTCGCCGAATCTGAAAGATAAGATAATTAGATAAAAGTCACTAGAAACGTACAGGGCTGTCCTCAGTGATGCACTAATATTCGGGGATTCTCTTAGCAATTTCACGGAAGAAAACTCATAGAGTGACCCGCCATAACGCGTCAATAGGCCGCTTTACACGCCAGTTCCTTCGGCCCCAGGCTTCCGCGTAAGGCAGGATGCAGACTGATGGCGGTCAGGCGTTCCGAGTTCTGCGTTCTTTGTGATACGTACTTCCTTAAGTAACAACACGCACTACCGGTAGTCAGGCCGCAGCGGTCATTTAAGGAAGTACATATTGCAGAGAACGCAGATTTCTGAACTTGGAACGCCTGACCGCCATCTGTCTGCGCGGGATCTAATGTGGGGCGCAAACCAGAGCGGTGGCGATAGCGATCGCGGTGGCGGTCATCAGGCGGACTACATTTCATTACCTTAAGATTTAATTTTTTGAATTAATCCGTTCAAAAAATCAAAGGGGAGGGGGCATTAGAGAAAAGCACTGTATATAGGGACCATTCTTGCTTATGGAAGGTAAGAAGTGAAGACTATAGAAACAAAATTTTAAAAAATACTGCGTATCAAGAATTACTGCAATTTTCGCGCCACTTTCTTACCCAAAACTTTCTTTTATTTTGGTTTCCGTGTTAAAATATACTGCAGCACAAGCTATCGCCTGGTCTCTTAACTTTTAAAAATGTCGCGTCGAGCTAGAGTTATCAACCAGTTAGAAATCCAACGCGCCTCTTCAAAACTGTGAGCTTTTGTGTTTAGACGTACTGTTTTGGCATGTACGCTCCAAACGCACAGATTTGGAGCGCGCTCCAGGAACGTTGTCTCTAAAATGTTAGTTCAACATTTCAAGATAATCCACTCGTGGTTTCCGTCACATTTCATTGTAACAAATCGGATCTTACGGTACTTGAGTAACTTCGAAATCCTACTACAACATTAAAAAGCATTTAGTTTTTAAAATATTATCACGTAAGTTAATAAATTCATAGTTTCTATCATATTAAAGCACTTGTAAAACCTTAACATCTTGTAGCAAATCCTGAAATATTAGCACATCATAGGAAGACAACCTCTTATGAGCTTAATCAAATAGGAAAAATGTTGTCAAGTAGAGTGCCTTAGTGTTTCCTAAACATTCCTATTCCTTAGTCAATAGGTAAAGTATCGCGGGAATTTTTACCATGTAGTCGGTCGAAGCTGGTTATAAAAATTATAGGCAAATATACGCTCCTTACTTGGACAATATACTATATTGATGATGCCCTTGACTATGACCTTTAAGGTCATTTTGAGATCAAGTGAGTATTTTTTAATGGAACCCCCATTTTTCACATCGGAATTGAAAAGAGGAGAAAATTTTACGTTCAAATATCACCTTGGACACGACCTTGATCAAGTGAATATTTTTAAACGGAACCCCCATTTTCCACATCGGAATTAAAAAGAGAAAATTTTACGTCCAAATATCACCTTGGACATAACCTTGACTATCGCATTCAACACCATTTCAAGGTCATATCAAGACATCGAAAGAATTTGCAGATATTGAGGGTCGTCGGGAGTGGTCGGGATCACCCAAAGGTGACCTTGGCAATGACCTTAACCAGGATCTTCGAGGTCACGCCAAATTTACAAAGAAAACCTCTCATTTTTATACCGAATATGGAAAAAGCAACAAATTTTACGCGTCCTTGACCTCAAATAACAGTTAAACTTGACACGACCTTGACTTTCAGGTCAAGGTCACATTCAAACGTGAGACTTCCTGCTTTTCCCATTTGAGAAGATCCCTTTGCGAATTATGACTTCAATTTGAAGGTCATGGTGAAGGTCACGTTTTGGTGAACCTCGCACCTGTGCTGTTGAACGTTTTTGCTAGTGCAAATTGTTTTCAGCGTCTTGATTAGACCTTGAAATCGCCTTGAAGGACATAGTCAAGGTGATGGTCATATTCAGACGTAAAACTTACATTATCCGATTTCTATTTAAAAAAGGCGGAGTTCTATTTGAAAATATTCACTCGACTTTGAGATGACATTAAACCTGGACTACTCCATAATTTTTGGTTTCTTTGAGATTTTAGCTATTTGCGCTGGGCTCTCGTCTAGTCTTCTGTTAAGCCAACGTGACCACAGTACTGTGGTGGTACTGTGTAAGAAAGAGTTCGATATCCATTGGATGTGTGTTAGTTTAAGAGCGGCGTCGTGATTTGTTCGAAGGTTAGAACTAACGGATCGAAAATTACGGGTTAAAGGTAGTCACTGTCAAAGCCATCGTCATTTTGCCCAAGTTTCCGAAATATCTAGATGGTAGGATTAAAATGGGTCATCCTGTATAGTGTACGTGGGAAGTGAACCTCCACCGTAATCACCTTATGCTCGTCTAGTTTGATGCCTATGAGTGTCGTAAGCTTGCGTTTTGTAAGTTTTCAATCTAACGAGAATTCTAAATCCTCTTAGGTCTTGAAGCTAGAGCCAGATACCGCAACCGACGTAATTCTGCACTAATTGGAATGAACATCAGCCTGTTTGCTCTACACGCAATTTCATTAGCCAGATAAACATCGGACTGCTCTGGTTTTTAATCCCGCCGCGTGAATAACCTTTGTTTATATCAGAGTTTTGTGTAATCACCCAATCAATACTTGACTAAATGGCCAGTTGTATATTTTAAACGGCTCGGACTGTGCTGCCAGATCTAGCCACTTTTCTGTAGGGCCACCGATTGCCATCTTGAAGGCATGCTACGAAAAAGCAAAATTCAGATGAAAACCCGTTTTTGAGTAAATCAGTTTGGCATCTGTATGTATTTTTATGCCCAGTTTAAATATGTGCGAGTGAGAGAGAGAAAGAGAGAGAGGCGAGCAACACCATGCAACGCGTATTATAGTGCGGACCAGAAGAATGCGACAGTGGAGGAGGGCTCAGAGCGCGGCTGTAATTTGCGGCGTTGCAAAACGTTGCACTTTTTTCTTGAATTATGATGAGTGGTGGAAATAAGCTTTAGTTTGTTTTCTACGGCCAAAAATTTAGGTGTGCTGAAAGTTCAGGATCGCCACAAACCCTGCGACATTGCGTCGTTGGTTTGACAACACCGCATCTTGGTACATTTCTACCTACATAGATTCATGATAGTGCAGTGCTATTAGTGTTTTTTACCAACTAGCAATCAGTTGAACACTGCAACCGTATTACTCAATATAAACTGTTTGAAGGCTTGTTGACATTATTTAGGATTTCCGGAGAAATATCAATTTGGAACTAGCTATCACTTACTTCATGTTCAGTTGTAGTAGCTGTGCGAGTACACTAAAATTTGAACTCCTTGAATCCCCGTAGAATAGAATTTCAAATAAATAGGAATCTCGTTAATACTTCATACACAACGTGTTTTATTATGTACTGTGTAAAACTTTCACGACCACCGTTTTATGTACCAAATGTTTATGGGCTATAAGGCCGTTGTCTGCAACTTTGAACGCTTGACGTTCCACGAGCGCTTGGAATCTTTAGAAGCTCTACAATCCTGAAGTCTAGGACGATACTGAGTTATCGCAGCCTTATTGTATACTAAGTGACATATAAATCCGAACACCCAGTTTAAATGGTTTTATTTTAATAAAATTTTGTATAAGTACTTAATGAAGCATAATAAGTAAATGATAAAAATTTCAAAATGATTGCACTGCTCTTTCACCTTTAATAATGTCTGGATGCACCCTGATGTGCTACGCATTCTCCAACGCGCCTAGACATGCTTCTGATCAGGTGGTCAATGTCCTCCTGTGGTATCTCATTCCAGGCAACCACCAACTCCTCTCGAAGTGCTTCTAGAGTCTGAGGAGGACGTTGCAAATTGAGCAATCTCCTACCCATCATATCCCACACGTGCTCAATTGGGGATAAGTCGGGAGATCTTGGTGGCCATGGTAACAATGTGACATCATTATGTTGAAAGAAGTCTATTGTGACTCTTGCAACATGTGGTCGGGCATTATCTTGTTGGAAAGTTGGATCTGCCAGGGTGTCAAGATAGGGTAAAAGATGGGGTTCTAGAACTTCGTGGATATAACGCTGCGCGTTCATGTTACCTCTGATGAAGATTAAAGGTGACCTGGAAACATAAGCTATAGCACCCCAAACCATAACTCCAACAGTGTGATGAACATGTCTTTCAACAAAAAACTGTGGATTCCTCCTTTCACCACGTCTCCTACTAACCCTGGCACGACCATCGTGCATGCCTAAACAAAATCGAGACTCGTCACTAAAGACAATACTGTTCCATTCCTGATCCCAGAGTGACCGTTGTCTGCACTACTCAAGGCGATTACGTCGGTGTTCTCGAGTTAAAGGGAGACCCAATGTGGCCGGTATGAAAACAAGCCAAAACTTCTCATTCGTCGGTAAACACTTCGCATGCCAATAGGTCTTCCGTGTTCTGCAAACCATTCATTTGCAATGGACCTGGTAGTGGAGAAACGGTCCCTTAAGGCCAATAATCTTAGGCGGCGATCTTCACGGTCTGTTGTTCTACGGCGGCGTCCAGTGCCCCTTGCTCTTTGCGTACGGCCTTCTCGAAGCCATGCCTGACAACACCTAACCACAGTGTCTACATTTCTTTGCACTCTAACTGCAATTGCCCGAAAAGAAACTCCAGCTTCCCGAAGTCCCACTATACGGCCCCTATCAAACTCACTAAGTTGACGAAATCGTACAGGTCTCCGTACTCTAGGCATCGTAACCGATCGTAAAGGATGTCAAGAACCAAAATCCGCCAACGTTGATTCTCTACTGCGGCTGAAATATTCATTTTTAGAGCGTCAGTGAATTAAAAAAAAGCAGTATAAAAACCGGAATGTCCAACTTTCACTTGTTATTTACAGTAAGATAAATACATTCCCCAACTTTTATTAAAATAAAACCATTTAAACTGGGTGTTCGGATTTATATGTCACTTAGTATATAACCCGTTACTGAGTCAGGTATAAATAAAAATATGTAATACAGCGTTTGTTGTATTTGTTGCAAGAAACGCTAATAGCACTGGACTATCATGAATCGATGGAGGTGGAAACCTTGCGTTGGGGTGTACTGAGATGCGGTGTTGTCAAAAAAAAAACGCAATGTTGCAGAATTTGATGTGATCCTTAAACTTCAGAAGAATCCGGAATTAATTCTATGCCGATTCGACACAGTTTGCGATTCAGAAGTGTGCACGCTAACAATAAAACCATTATTTGGGCGTCGAAAACGAACTAAATCTTATTTCCACCACGCATCATAATTCAAGTAAATGGTGCAACGTTTGGCAACGCTGCTAGATACAGCCGCGCTCCGGTCCCTCCCCCACTATCCCATGCTTATATGGCGCACTATTTCTAACATATGTATTGCATAGCGTTCTTTCTAGTACACATTGAAAGCGGTGCCAAAAACGTAAATGAATTTCACTGTACTCTGATCGCGTTTATTCCTGAATTAAAAGCGCACCAAGTCAATCTACTTGACACCGCATAAAGTGATAAAATGAACCACTAACTTGTCCCTGAGTAGCAGATTGTCAACAGTCCCGGCGAATAGCAGCACACATGACAAATATACGGTAGAGGTTGTGAGGATTGCACCGATCGTACCGATCGGAATTGATTTTTGGGCGTCTGCTAGATCACCAGACCGGTTGGAACCAGCCATGATGCCAGTAACGGAAGGGAAGAAGATGCCTATCAGGATTGTGAAGCTCGTTGTGATATCGGCGAATACGTAGTTGTAGGTTTCGGTTCCTAAGGGTTCTATGTCGGAGGGGTTCTTGCCTCTTGTGATGAACTGCCCTTGCTCCAAAAAGCCATTGTAGATGTTGTCTGGAATTGGACGGGTTGCTCAGAACAGTTGTTGATCCGACAAGATGAGAAAGATCCGCACCAAGCAAATACGATATACATACAACACAATAAATGCTCAAAAAGGGGGTTCACCACAGGTTCTGCTTATCGGAGTTCAGATCACCGAGAGTTGATCATCTCGCCCTTTTCTCCACATGACTTCCTCACGCTCTACAAGGCGCAGACAGGCTCTAGCCTCGAGTACTGCTCACATGTTTAGGGTACTACCGTCCCAACCACATTATGTTGTTCAGAGAAGACGATCTACCTCTCTTCCACCGCTATATTAACCGGTTTTTGCTTCTCAAACCTCTCCTCCATGATACCGCCGCGTGATGTGCCTCCCAGCAGAGTCAGGTCAATCTTCCACCAATTTGATGGGAGAAATGTGGTTCAAAGCCGGCCCTGACAAATGTAAGGAATCGATCATCCTTCTGGTGTGGGCTTCCAATGGCCAGTAAAAAGAGATCTTATATGGTCCATCTGCTGGGAGGAGGTCGAGACAGTCTTGAAATATTCCGGGTCATTGAATATCATACTGCGGAGGTTCATTTGGCGGAGTAATCGGATATCATGACCACAAGTAGACGATTAGAAAAAATTATAAAACTAGATGATAAGTATGTGGAGCATATTGTTGGTACATATGGGGTCAAAAAAGTTACTTCGATTTTTCTCATCTTGTTTCACATTCATTCAGGAGTAAAAATAACGTAAAATCAATACTGTACAATCAGATAACTAGGAGTACCCTCAATCATATTTTCTTCTGTAAAGCACTCCCGAAATTTTAAGCTTCGCTGTGATGAAGAACACTTACCAAAAAATACTCCCGAAGAAAGACCTTTTATACCACTCGAGATAGAGAGGTTACTTTTCAGATAGTAAGGATCACAGGTTGAGGTACCATTTGGACAAAACATTTTATGTAGTACCCCTGTGACATTCTTGTGGCAATCTTTTATGTCGTCCATTTTCAGCAATCTATTTCCTAATATGCACATGCTGAAAAGATGTTTATTGTTAATTCGACCTTTCGTAGAATCAATTTATTCAACCATGTCAACCACAAGTGCAGCGTGCCAGGTATTATTTATATCATTTTATTTATCGATGACTTGAATTTCATGAGATACCGGAAAATCCAAATTTAGTTTAAATAAAGAGAGAAGTACGCTATTCGCCACTATTTTTTCCTTACCGATATTAATTCACTATCATTGAACCTTTTTTTCATTCAGTTCTAATGCGGAAGTATTTAGCAGTTTTGTGGGAATTTTTTCAAGCGAATCAAATCATCTTATATGAATCATATTCTGGGTCTTGAAATCCAAATCATCAGTATCACTTAGTAACTCACAACGTGCAGTACTTATATGCATTTTTCTACATGAAAGATACTCAGGTAAAAACTAATATAACAATAAAATGTATTTACTCTTCTAACTGTAAGCAGGGTGTGGCGCTATGCAGGGTGTCTTCAAAGTTGGTACTTTCCTCATCGAAAACCACTGATTAAAAGGTACAACTTTTTAACCAAAAACTACTTCACCCTCCGCCCCCAGGGTCATGCCCTTAAAAATTTCAAATGACAAGGGGTATCGAATAAAAGCTTGTTTAAAAGGTCTTTCGAAGTCGTTTGATTTTTCAAAATCAGTCGATTCGTTTTCGAGAAAATTAGAAAAATCTTTACTTATCTTAATTTTTTTACAATCCTTTTTCCGTTTTCGGAGCAGTTTTTCCGAAAATCAACTTTGTTATTTTGAACGTATTTGTTTATGAAAAGAAAAGTCACAACTTTCAGGACACCATGTATTAGGCAAAATTATATCAGATTCAGTTATCACTTAGATAATTCTTGTTTTGATCTACCTTGCCTCCCCAAATGGGCACCCATGAGCGTACACCTCCATGATAGCAAATATCTTTATAAGTTTTTATCAAAATCCAATAAATAATTGTGGGTGTTGCATTTTATATGTCACTTAGTATATTTTAAACTTTCAGCAACACTTTTCTTTTTATTTTAATTAGAGATCGACCGATATAGGATCTTCGCCGATACCGATCACAGACCAATACATCGGCCGTTCATTTCTTGCCGTTTACAATCACAGGAGACTTCATATCAAGCGACTGGGGCACAGCAGTCTCGTTACTTATCAAACGCACCCTGTATTTTAATTCTGATATACTTTTACCTATTGCGGAATAACATATGTATACATGCTTGACATGCAGGTATGCTGGTATAGAAGAAATCTGCCCAACACCGCTTTATAGGCTTCCTAAGATTCATAATTTGGTATGGTATAGTAGATCTAATCCAAACTGAAACAGTGAAAAAACGGAGCCTTCAAAAAACGTGAAAATCTATATATTTAAGTGGTATAAATAGATACGCAGGAATAGGTCATTTTTCATAATTTTGGCGACAGTAATTTTTTTTTTGTGGTGAAGTAAGATTATAGCTTCCTAATGATAAGTTTGAATTGGAGTCATGACAGGAATTTTTTGATCAAACATTCTTTATCATGTTGGTTCTATGAAAAGTCAACAGGTTACGAGAAATTTAAGGGTAAATGTAATGATATTTTCGCTTATAATGGTAGTAAAAAATGGATTAATGGATTCACTTTAAAATGGTATTCTTGATCATACAGAATGATTATAAAGTTATCTCCACATGGAACAATGATTTATACCGATAAGAGCGTACCCAGCCCATACCAACATAACTCTTGATATTTCTTTTATATTTGCATTTCATTCGTGTAGAGCATTCCACGGCAATTAGACAATCCATATGGATATTGAAAATTACTAGGATTACTTTTTTCTAACATTCAAGCATATATTGCGCCTGATGCTTTTTTAAGCAATAATTTTGTCGTTTGCAATACTTGAAAGCATGAGATAATGTTATGCTATACTGCAAATTTCGTATATCTGTTTATTTGAGCTCAAAATTGAAACAGGGTGCTTATTTTTCCAGTCAAGTCAATAGACCGGGGAAGTTCTGAGATGAGCTAATTGGTTAGTTTTAGCAATGGTTATGTCACTTTTTAACAGAGCTTATTAGAAATCAACGCAAAAAATGTTAAATTCATTTTTTTGTGAATAATCTCCTCCATCCCTCAACTTTGGAGGGCGGTATTCATTATTCGTTTTATTGTAAAAGCTATTTCGATCCATGTAGAATAAGCCCTGAGACTTTCAGCTTGCTACAATTAATGTATCATGTCATATTCGTTGTTGTAATGCGATACACATAAAAAACGCAATAGAATCCTTACCACCAACAAGTACAGAATCTATTGTGTTTAGCCGCTCTTTAAGGCGATTTACCGACAAATGTCGAATAAAATTTAATTTAAATAACTTTTAAAGAACATGTTTGAAATGACCTCCACTATTTTCTATGCACAAGCGACACCTTCTAATAAAATTTTTCTTTACTCTTTGAAATGAATTTGCGTTTACCATAATTTTTATTCTTGCTTCATCAATTTTCTGGCGCAGTTGGTTAACATTTGTATATTCAGATGTATAGATTATCCCTTTATAAAAGCATGATATGAAATAATCTAGAGGATTTAAATCGGGTGACCTTGGAGGCCAGCGTTTGTGTCTACCTCCACCTACCCAACGCCCAGGAAAGGCACTGTCTAAGTAATGACTGACTGACCATTCAACCTGGCGGGCAATTCATATGGTCCAATTAATTTTTTGTTGAGTACTCGAGGCAATAAATTAACGCCGAAGTGATGTTGAAAGCTTTGTCGGCGAATAGCGTGTGGATTTTCCACGCTCCATGAATGGAAATTGTGCAAGTTGAATATTCCATTTCTGTTAAAGTTGGATGCATCTGCTATCGAAAAAAGTTTTATCCTCTTCTGAACATATTCTCACAAAATTTAACCCATATGGTGCATAGTCGCTTGGAAGCAATTCTTGTACCTTTGTAAGGATGCATGTGCTCTGAGCGTAGAATTGTGTGCAGTGAAGTATGGAATATGTTTCTGCTTCGGGAAATGGCTCTGGTGCTTACAGAGGGATATCTCTCGGCTGCTTCTATTATATCTTCTATTTCTTCTGGGCGTATCCTCGGCGCTTCTAGCTGACGATGAGTGCCTAGTATGCGGCCCTCCATATACGCATTATGGACGTGTAGAAAAACGCGGTAGTCGGAATATAAAGCCGGTTGTTTTTTTTTATATACTCCAACTACCACGAAGGCCTAAGGCCTAAACACCCATTAGGTACCGTGGGGCAATAGGGGGATACAGGGAAAGGGGGGACGCCACACGGACTCTGCAACATGCAACATGCACACATTCTGGCTCCGCCGGGTGGTACCTCCACGTTCGACAGTCAGAGACCGTCTACCACCTACGGACAATCACAACATCCATAGCAAGAGAAAAATTTCTCCTGGGACGGGACTCGAACCCGCACAGCGACTGATCAGGAGACCGAAGAGTCTACTACTGCGGCCACCAGTACCAAAAAAATCACAGCCACAAACCTAATGGTTGTAGTTGTTATTGCAATTGAAAGTTCATTATCCCGTTTTTTTTTTTTTGGAAATTTCACAACATTTTTTGAAGTCCTCTATAACCTGACTTCCATTGACCCACTAGTAACTTTACACCCTGTATATTTAAATACGTAGTCAAGCGTTTATTTGAAGGGTTATTGCGGAACTCGTTTTTCTAAGCCTAATCTTCCAGTTCTTTTGTATGACTCCAAACATAACAGCAGATGCGCGATTCGAAAAATCGTGGAGTGGAATATGCGTTGAAAAATCGGGAAACTGCTGTTACAATATAATATCGTCGAAACGTCAGTACTTATTTGATCAGGCTAACTAGCCAAATGTGTACTGGGTTCAGTGCCGGATTAAGAAAGCGCGAGGCCTGTAGCAAATTCTGTCAAGGGGTCTTTGGTTTGCTTTATGTTTTCAAGTTTAGGGTATTAAATAAAACAAAATTGTTACAAATAAACGTTTCTGGATTTAATATGGGCTAATTTAGAGATAACGGTTTCAATATCGACTTCTTTAAGCAAATCTTGCTCTATATTCAACAAAGTGAGATGATTAAGATTTTATAATAAATCAAACAACCACAGTAGATTGGATCGTGACTGAGTTGATAAAATTTAAATAGTTCGCCTGTTTTTTGGAAATACTTATAATCGATATTAAATTAAAATCGTTTGAAAAAGTACAATCTCGGCTACGTAAACTCGGAAAATAAATGTATACGTGCATAAAAATATAAAAATCTGGTCGTTTGAAGGGTAGAAATGTGGTATAGATGCTAGTCTTATATATCGATTATAATTAAACATTAGAACATTAACATTAAAAAGTTCGTTTAATTCCTACTTATTTTCACGATTTAACGTGACGAACTGCAAGATATTTTACGCTGCTATCTAAATGAATATTTTTTTGGAGGCGTTGGAGTCCCAAATTCGCGAGGCCTGTATTAGCATTTGCTACTCTTGCTATAAATTGTACAGAAGTATACATATATTCGTTATAGTGAACGCAATCGAAATGAGAATCGTCGTAGTTGTAAGTCTCTAGAATGGGTGTGCACAGGTCGTTGCAACAGTTAATTGGTTATTGCAAAAAATCGTTCATTTTTTGCAGAAAAGTGCATAGGAGTAAATATGGAATAGTAGCCAAAAGTTAAAGCCTGTGCAGTGATTAACATCTTCAATCATGCTCAAGCTGCGTAACTTCTGCAACAAATTAGACTACATACTTAGTTCTTAGTATCTAATTGGACAATATCCATTAGTATAAAACATAATCAAAAATGTTATTTACAAAAATTGTGGACTCAACGCTTCCTACTTGTAATATACCGCTCCCTACGGGATGACTGTTTAGTCTGGATGTCAGTAATCGACGCGTAATGTTACGTAGAAATTCAGTAGTGGTTCAGACCACAGTAAATATTGATCGTGTGACATTCGCTTTACCGTTTCCGAGATCCCAAAGGCGAGGTTCGAATTTGCAACACACGTAACATATACCGGGTGACTACGAGGTTTGTTTCAAAAGTATCGCGAATTTTGAATTTTCGCGGGCTGCGTATGTTCGATTTTCGATCTTTTTATGGCCTCACTAATGTTGATAATATCGGCCATTTTGAATGTTCAGTCAGTTTTTGTCAGCTAGGATTAGTTTCTGTTTGCAAACTTGAAAAAATGGCTCAGTGGTCGAAGATCTTCCAACGATGAAGAAGTGATGTCGGCAGTTAATGGCTATTTTGAGGAGCAAGACAGTTCTTATCATAAAAAGGGTATCGAACTTATTGAACATCGCTAGGAAAAGTGTATAGAGCTCAAAGGAAATTTTGTGTTTTCTTCGTTGGGTCGGGTACTTCTGGGACCTCCCTCGTATATATAAAATGAAGCGCTTTACAGGATCCATGGCATTCTAGATCGAAATAAGTAAAACATATGGGGTGCCCAACTTAAAAATCAAAAGTTGGAGTCGTTTCCGGTCAAACCGGAAGTAATAATAAGAATAATATTAATTACTCATTAGACATACATAAAACATGTATAGGGTTCGCCAACGAACAATTTACAGTATGTATATACATAAAAAAAACAGTAAAATGACAAGCAACAACAAACAATGGCTTAAATTAGATATCTAAAAATGGACACCATAGGCAAACAACAGCAGATAAAATAGATTAGCTTTCCAGCAATTAAAATTAATAAATTAACACACAGTACGTAAAAGCAAGTGAATATTCCAAAAATGTAAAATCATCTGAAATACGCAACCCCTAAATTTCGTTTTTCTATCTTCAATAATGAAAAGGTTGTAAGGGTGGTGAAGAATCACCCGGTATAGTGCTTTTAGCAAAATTACGTTTATACCTAAAATATATTTCAACTAATCCTAGTAATTCCTCATCTAGTATTAATTTAGCTTGTGGAGAACCCTATACATGAATAATTGAGTTTTTATAAGAAATGTTCTTTCCATTTAATTACCCCCTGGGTACGTCCTTGTATAATGTGGAAAACCTACAAAGATGAGCCATCCAACTTGCACATACCTCTTGCATCTTCTGGCCTACAAAAATACCGAATTGCAACGTTGTATTAGCAGCGAAGACAGTCTAAAAAGCATGATTGATACTGGAAGGTAATGTCCGAGCAATAAATTATAGATAAAAGGAACCGCATTCTATAGAGGCGCGTGGCTTGATTGAGTTGTCTCCAGTGGCGGTGGGCTATTGCCGTTGATGAGGTGCACGTTTAATTAAATTCTCAATATGGTGTGATTTTCAAAGCAGATTACATCTTTATTTGTAATATATATCCAGGCTTTTCAAACGCAAAATATTTCCTTCAAATTTCAATATTCAGGCAGAAGCAGGTTGTTTGATTAATTCCGATATGGTAGGTTGGATCTTTGGTATTGAATAGACAAGCCGTAGTGCTAGGCTACCTAACGTTTGGAAACTGAACATTCTCTTCTAAAATGTAAATATGAAAAACGTTTACTTTACGAAATTAGCGCTGGCTATTTATCCTTCTTGCAACTAATTTCATTGGCTCTGAAAAGTGTTTCACCAGTATTCAGTTTAACCACTTTCCGTGTCTATACAAAACTGCATTCTGGTCTACATGCTTCTTACTTTGTAGAGATACTAGTAGGTTCAGCCACTTTAAGCAGAAATCCAAGTATATAGAATTTTTGCTTTTCCAGAAATCCTCCCAATGCTAATACAAACAATTATGATCAATTATGATTCATTAAATTTATTCATATGTGACTTCCTAGTTTAGTCCGATGACGGAAATTTTAAAGGTGCCCATAAAAGTGATTTGTAGGAGCCACTGTTATGGTTGATTTCGCGATAGTAATCGTTTCCTGTAGATTGAGATACTGCTCAACCAGTGGTGTTATCCAGAAAAAGATCTGGGAGGAGGCTCAGCATGTGAAGTATGACGTGCGACTTGTTTTATACGAATTTTCAATTTTGCCTTCTTATAACTCAAGAACCATCAAGGTGTTGAAAAAACTTGAAAGACCTTTTTCTGTATCAAATCTTATTCTCTCCAAAAATAGGTTGTTTTAGCTATACTCTTAGATATACTTCAGGCAGCAGCGGTGGCCGCAGTAGTAGACTCTTCGGTCTCCTGATCAGTCGCCGTGCGCTGTGCGGGTTCGAGTCCCGTGCCAGGAGAAATTTATCTCTTGGCTATGGATGTTGTGATTGTCCGGTGGTAGATGGTCTTTAACTGTCGAACGCGGAGGTACCACCCGGCGGTTCTCGTAGGCGGAGCTAGAATGTGTGCATGTTGCATGCACACGTGTTCCCTCGCCAGAGTCCGTGTGGCGCCCCCCCTTTTCCCATGTATCCCCCTATAGCCCCACTGTACCCAATGGGTGCTTAGGCCTTAGGCCTTCGTGGTAGTTGGAGTATAAAAAAAAAAAGATTCTTTGTTTAGCCATTATAAGCGGAAATATTACATGTTACCTTTCAGTTTCTCGTAATCTGTTTACACGGCAAATGTTTATAAAAGCAAAATAATAAATTTAATTCAATGAAAAACCGGGAAGGAAGCAATAATACCAGCAAAATGTGCGTGTAGTTTTTCCTTATACAAAATCTCCCTATTTTCTTGGCCTTATGAAGTCCAGTTATCCAGATAAGATTTCACACTTTTTTGACGGCACTGCTGTCGCTGTTTCGATGAGAATTAGATTCTACAACATCCTAGTGATAACAAGACACATTCTTTCCAACGAATCTGAATTAACTTATATTGTAAGATACTACGAGGGTAATCACAAAAGTATGGTTTCCTATTGCCTTAAAAGTGCAAGAATCATTCATCTCAAAAAATTGATAAAATGATTATAAAATTTAAACACGTTAGCTGTCGTAAAGGATATCGCGTATTTTTGGGTAGCTGGAATCACATACGTGAACTTTATGGGAAATATGTATGATATTGTGGCTAACAAGTAGGTAATTCTAACGGTACTAGATAATAGAAAGTCGTTCACTTTTATCAATTTGCAACCTTTACAAGTCCCTACCCCCTACAATGACCACCGCCCATTTTTAAACCTTTACAATTTTTTTCTAAAAATGACCAAAAGCTTCTGAAACGTGAAAAACGAAGTTTAGGCTTTTCTTATTTTTTTTTTCGATTTTTGATCACGCTGTTCTGTATGCGGATGGCTGTTTTGATCCCAACCAAGGCCCTTAAAAATAACTTCAGCGAAGAATCTACTTCTATAGTTACTGCTTCCATCCTTATACAATTTTGAGACAAAGACATCTACTGCTATGTCAGAACCCCTTAAATGATTTCACCAATAAATGTGCATGAACAAGTAAGAAGAAAACATCTGAGAACGTCAACAAACTTAATATTTAGGATGTATTGGAGGTGCTGATTTTTTTTTCACGTAGTAAAAAAGCTCATAAGGGTCAACACCTAAAAAATGAGAAAATTTGTTATTTGGCGATTTTATACTTTCTGGTTATTTTTGGCTATCGTAAAAATATAGGGTGTTCGAAAATTCCGAAACCAGGCATGCCTGTATGGTTACATATACAGGGTGGTCCACCCATGCGTGGACGGAATATTACTCATAAACAAATACATTTTGAGTAAATCTATTTACGGCGTGTTCCCATAAATAGATTTTCTTAAAATGTATTTGTTTAAGAGTAAAATTCCGTCCACACATGGATGGACCACCCTGTATACATGGTTTTCCGTGACGAACATTCAAAAAACAATATCTCATTTTCGAAATTTTAGATCAAAGTTTATGCTTTATAATGATGATGAATATTGAAAATAAAAAGGAAATAGGACACCGCACTCTTGGGACCACCCTCGTATTGACTGATATAGAAGATACTGATGTAACTGAAAAATAATTAGACTAGACTTCATACTAACTGTAGTTTGTCATTTCCGTTGATATTGACAAAGATTCCAATATACACAGCTAAAATGGAGAACAAGACGCATGCAAGCGCCACGGTCGCGAATTTGTTGACAAACTTTACTCCAACAAATACAATAGTTCCCATCACCATAAGAAGTCCAGTACCATACAGACGGAAGTTATTGTACTTCACCTCATCGTCAGTTATTTCACCAAATAGAGTTAGGCTGGACGTCATATACATCTGGAAAATAACTCTCAGTTGCCAAATACTCCAAAAACTCACTGCAAAGTCCGAACGAGATTTTTGCTGACAGAAAAAAATGTATTCGAGAACTTGTAGGCACAGTCAGCGATAATAAAAAAATAAAATATCTTGATCCTCTTTTCCCTAATTACTGTACTTTTACACTGTCTTCTAATCATTTTTTATTTTTTTACACGGGGCGCCATACTTCTTGTTTTCTTTAGAGAAACATTCTATTCTGTCATCAAGTGACGACCGACATTTGCAGTGGAATCTCCTATCAAAATTGCTTACTAAGTCAGATTCTATAAAAGTCTTGAAGCTACCATAGTTTGCAGATGATAGTTGAGATAATTTAATTTAAAAAAGGGAGGAGGGCTTTTGACTAAAATATTTTTTCTTAACTTACCGAAAATGTTCTGTTAGATCGAGCTCCAAGACTTTTATGAACTCTTATAAATTATTTACAAAAGTGAGTGTTATATTAAAACATTTAGCGCTTAAGAATATTAATTATTTTACGTTCTAAAATGTTTTGAATCAAACGACAAATAACACTTTTTCAAATAAAAACCGTTTATGTCCATTTGGTCAAAATCACAGATCAAAATTTTGTGTCAACTCCAGAGCTGGGCTGTAGTACTGTATCGAATATTGTCTTGAGTATTGTTGTGATTGCGGTTTATCACCAAAGCTTTTTCTATGTAAGTGGTTACCGAGTCATCGGAATAACAAGAAATCGGCAAATACCGAGGGCGTGATTAGCTGGGGGCTACGTTTCCAAAACGATGAAGAAGAGGCTCCAAGCTCACCAAAACATAGCATTCCGTGAGGCGGTGGACGCACCGTGGTATGTACCTAACAGAGTGACGAACTACGACAGGTACCGGTCGTAATCCAGATGAGAGAGAGGTCCCGAAAGTTCTTTGAAAAGAACGAAAGACATCGAAATGTGCTGATTAAAGACGCCTTGGATTACGACCCAAGAACAATAAGGCGTCATAAAAGACCGAAAAGCCAACTGCAACAAGAATAAATTTGGCCCTAGCAGCTGATGAGGCCAAAGAAAAGGGGAGAAGACCGACAATAGTTGTACACCCAAGAGGGGAAAGAACAGCCCGTGAACAACGGGTGGACAGAAGCCTGTCGATTGAGGTGGCCAGAGTCAAGCACGGACTCGGGTCTAACCTCAGGAGACGAACGACTAACAGCAAATGACTGACTAACTCCAGTCGACGAGGAAAGAGCGAAAGGCTCACCAACCTTAATGCGGGGCTTAGGTCAAAGCCCCCAGCGCAGGACCCCCAAGAAAGAGGCCGTCCATAAAAGTCGAGAACCGACAGTTAGAAGAAGGTATTCCCTGCTCGATCTTAAAGTCGAAACTTCAAAATAAGTAAATGTCAACTGACAGTAAGGTAAGTAAATAAACTTTTGTTTCCAAAGGCAACTTGATATTAGTTTGTGTTTGTTAAAATTAAAGCCAATGAATTTTGTTGCCAAAACTTTTAGAACATACGTAAATCCCCTATGTTTGTCTGACAAGGTAACACTTCCTTTGTTTACAGTGTGTGACCACAATCGTCTGAAAGGTCTTGTAATATGGGGAGATTGTTCGAAGCTATAATTCGGAAATTTAAGATGGCACCATGCCAAACCAGCATAGCCCAGGATCGCCTGGGGTAGGCATTTCCTCTTCCAAAATGATGTCCAGCCCTCCAAAACTACAAACGATGATGTCTGTCGTTTTTCCAAGTACCTTATAACGCCATCTTCGTCCATTGTTCCGAAAACACCAAAATTCGCGAAAACTCACACAGAACTGTTTTCGTAACACAACGGTCAATTATTATGCAATCATTGACCAAAATATTGCAAATGCATTGTTTATGTCATGCTGTGAACGCAACATTCAAATTCTCCAGCTGAATGACTCTAATCGTGACGCTAGTAGAAAGAATTTCCCAGTATATCCCACCAGATAATAGGTTTCAGCTTGAGAGTACTTCACTATGGTACTAAAGATACAGGGAACATTTTTGTGGAGCTACTCTTGTAAAATAATCAGTATATATTAGTATAAGAAGTATTTTGACGTAGTACTATGCCCAACTCTGTTCTACTAGGTTAAGCTGCCACAGGCCGACAATAATATTGAGCCGACACTCTTATCCAGAAACCAGAGTATATCTCTCAATTGGCTCCAATTTTCGAGATATCTTGACCTAAATGCGCAATAATAGCCTATAAACCATAGGACATCAACTCGAACTTAAAGCCTTGCCCTTCAAATGCCGTTAAGTTTGTCTGAATATCTTTTCCTTTAGCTGAGGTATGACACTTTATAATTTCTCTTCTCCTGAACTGAACTATATTTGATACCAATTCTGGTGGCTCAGAACATATTTTAAAAAGGTGTGAAAATCGTACAAGCTTCCGTAAATTCTCATAATAAACACAAGCAGCGGCAACATTGCGTTGAGTGATCTGTTCGAGAACGATCTCGATTACTTTGAACGGAATAAATACGCAACGCACGGCGACAGTTTAAAACGAATGGCACAAAGTCCAGCGGTTGGGATAGAGATGGCCTTCAATTATAAACATTATGAGCAGTACAAAGAAGTTAAAGGTAAAAATGTATGTTAGTTATGTAATACATCTGTTTCCGTTGCTAAAAAAAGGACTATAAAACTATAAATTCGAATTTTGAAAAATCATTCCCATTACGTTCTGCAACCAGAACGGAAAAACTGAAACAATTAAAAAATCGGTTAATTGGACAACAGACATTTTTTTTGAAAACAATCGACAAAAGTAAGGCTGCAATTGAAGCATCATACCGGGTGTCCCAGATAATTACACAAAAGAAGAAACCTTATGAAAGCGGGGAAATGATAACACAGGCGTTTTAATAAAGACGAGATAATGTCTGCTATAAAATGTATGCAACTTTCTGCTAATACAGTGATGAGACGAGTAGAAGTAATGAGCAATGATTAGATTTACAGTTAAGAAATGACTGATAACCGTGCTTATTTTTCAGTGCAATACTATAGTAGCGCAATTTATTGTTTCACCCTTCATAGAAATTGACAGCCTGCAACTTCTGTTACTCAGAATTTTAGCGAAGACATCGCTGCGACAGAAATGGAATGATTCAGCTCCAAAATCATTAGTCTTAAATACAAAATGTATCTGGCCTTCAGTAAGTAAAGATAAATATTCAGTTTTATGTCGTGTCGCCTTTTATTTCATCGTTGCTGATATATGTATGATCATATTTTTTAATCCATAAACGAATCTACATCAGGGATTTTGAACTTATTGCAAACGCATCTTTATCACAATAATATAAGATATCAGAGTAATGTACCACAGATACCAATGATTCACATGAAGCTCTTTTAACGTTAGCACTTAGAACATGTTTATTCTCTCTTCATAGCTATGCCGAAAAATTGGTAGATCAGGCAACATTGGCTATCCTGTCAAATTCGAGCCACAAAACGATTCCGAATCCGTTCCAACATCTTTTACAGTCCAGAAACGATAATCACGATAATCGAACGGTTCTGGTACGCTTTTTAAATTACTTTGCTGCCAAATGTATTGATCTCCACTAATGACGATGTATTAGTTTTCTTTAAGCTTTAAATCAATAAATCTTCAAAACTACTGAACTGACGCTCATGTATTTTACATCATTATAAAGGGAATTGAAAGACCTTTAAAATAATGTATCACTCGACCCCCTTTCCATTTAAGATCTTAGGGTTGGTGTCACCCCCGCCCAGGGAGCTGCACGTGTTAACGTGATTTTTTGCCAAACTTGTGTCCCCCTCGAAAACAAAATCGACGGGTCTGAGCGTTTTTCCAAAAAAAAACTGAGCTGCCAGTAAATGCGTATATACAGGGTGACTTTGAAGTTGAGTCATTAATTTTCAGATAATGATTGTAGAAGGAAGATAAAAATTAAAAAAAATTAAAAAAAAATGTTACCTTGTTTTATAAAGTATCCTCCCGACAAGTATTTCAGTGCGGACCTGTATTTGATCGTGCGGTCTTGGAGCACCGGCATGCCCTCCCCTGTGAGGTCTTAAGTCACCTGATTCACGAGCCCTTTGTACTACATTAACAAAGGCACGAGGGGTTGGTTGCACTCGATTGGGAAACCGATCCGCATAAATCCGTGATGCCGCGTAAATAAGAATCATGTCCACAAGTTCAGCATTTTCGTAAACATGTGCGATTTTTTACTTCGTTTGAGCCACGCAACAAACACCACTATTCACTCACGCGTTACCGACTGACACTGACTGAATACAACTGAATAAAATTGTAAAAACATCGTTCCAAATTCTTTCGCTTTTTTGTTTCCGATGCGATGAACCGATAAGGCGGATTATATCCGTTGTTGCCAAACACGAGCACATAATATTATTATTGAGACAGGACGGTACTCAAACTTCCAAAGGGCTATAACTTTGTTACTTTAATTTTACCAGAAAAATGGTAAAGAAAAAAAACATTTCTTTTGATCAGATCTACTCACTGTTAAAATAAATGACTCAACTTCGAAGTCTACTCTGTGCTCGAAAAATAGACGGAAATATTTTAGAGGGTGATTCCTTGTTAAAAAAAATGTCTATAAACATCGGTCCGGAAATGCAGTTTTCAAGGTACACTGTGATAATTTTTCTTTATTATTGTCTTAAAAAATATTTACTAGATACTGTTGAAATTTGGCAATATTATTTTGTTGTATTGAGAGGCTGATTTTTTAATATTTGTTTTCCACGCGCTTGTGATTTTTTTAACAAAGTTAATAAACCAATTTTGTCCAGTGCCATGCAATAAAGCGGTTTTATATTTTTTAGATCAAATCAAACAACAAATAGTAAAGTTACAGAAAAGGCAGTGACGTACGTTTTATTGCCAATAATATCCGCTAATAATTTTAGTCTATTTAGTGCTAAATTAGACTTTTGAAACAAAAAATAATATCGCAAAGAATCAAGTAAATATTTTTTAAGATATTAATAAAAAAAGAATTAAATGCATCACCCTGTATCATGAAAACTCTGCATTTCCGGACCCATGATTATAGAAACTTTTTTCACATATTTTAACAAGGCATCGCCCTCTAAAATATCTCGGTCAGTTTTACGAACACCCTGGCATATCTCAGCGGAAACAAATGATATTCAAGCCACCTCAGCGACATTTGAAAGGGCATGGCTGATACTTTGTGATGATATCTATGGTTTATTGGAAAATAATAATAATATATTACCCTCATTAAACAGTATATACAATGTTTACGAACAAAAAAATCCTTAAGAGAATAAAGGGCTACATCAGCTTGCCCCTTAAAGAAGCAGCTGCTAGAGCAAAAAAAAAACCGAGAGAGAAAAATATTTAGTTTTGAATTTATTTACCAAAAAGGCAATTTGATATAAGAATGATTTCTTCTTTATTGTGTGATGGTATTGTAATCAGATTCAATCTTCTAATGTTTAGATTATGTACATCAGTGCGGTAAATAACTTTTAAGTGAAGATAAGGGGGGCTTTTATATTTAATAATCTTTTAAACAAAGGAAGTAGAGTGCAAGGTACGCCTCTGAGCCATATTCAACCACCCCAGTTCAGGTAGTTTGTGGGATACTCTTTGTCTACCCCTTATCAGTCTCAGATAAGAATTCTGAGCTTTTTGAACCCGTTTTAGTTCCAAACTATCATAGTGGGACAACACTAAAGCTTCGCAGAGCGTGGCTTTAGTATTTTGTGATAGGTAATGTTTGGGGGTAAATTATTTTTAACATTGAATATGCTTTTCTCAGGCACAGAGTAATGTGCTCTCTAAACTTAAGTTTAGAGTCCAAATCCTTCACGGAATCCCTAAATGATATTATATTGTCCCCTAGTTTGAGCTTAATATTATTTTCTAATACACTACAAAACAATATAGCCGTCGATTCATTAGGGTTTATCTTTAACAAGTGATCTTCAGAGGTTTTGAGAAGGCTATTCAAGTCGGTATTCACTCGGTTTGTTATAAGTTCTGACAGATCAGGTTTAAAAGAGTGTCGTCAGCATAAAGATGATATTGACAATAACATAGCGACTTCATGAAATTAAAAGTATATAGGCTATACTATAATGGACCCAAAATACTGCCCTGTGGCACCCCTGATGTAATTGTAACCGTATCTGATATGTCACGCGCTGCATCCTTTCGCCATGGCCTAACCTTAGATAATATAAAATCGTTATTTTTGCACGTCTAGGTCAGGATACCATCTGGAAAGTACGCCCTGGTTCCTGCGCAAAAATCTTGTCGGCCTGTATTATCGAATAAACTGTACAACAAGCAAAAGTACTAGCATCATCCCCTCACCAATACGATTTCGACAGCTCCAACGATGTACATAGCCCCAGCCAGGGTAGTACCAGTGTAGAAGAGCATGCCGACTGCTCCCCCAAATTCGGGCCCTATCGATCTAGATATCATGAAGTAGCTTCCTCCGGCCGGTACCACCCCATTCGTCGCAATTGCCGACATCGAGATCGCCGTCAGCATTGTTACACAACAACAACATAAAACGATTAGGAATCCTTGGAGGGCCCCCGCAGTGCCGACCACCTGTAACAAACAGTAATTCAAAATGGAGATACACCACAAATTTTATTAAAGCTACTTTGCTGCGTAAAATTAAGGGCTTGAGGCAATAAAGTACCCGAGCCACATTAACTTTATTTCAAGAAATCTAACGTAATAAGTTTTAAATCTTGAAATCACGTTTCTTTTATTTTGAGCAACAAAGATCGGTGACGACGCATTTGCGTAAAACAAATACTGTGGCTTGGTAATGTAAGAATGGCCCGTTCATTAACATACAAAGTTTGTCCGGAAAGTAATAGGACTCTTCCGCCATGACTGTACTTCGGACTGCAGCGTTCGTTAGGGCAGAGGTACGCGATTAAATTCTGTGCGAAACTCGGTAAATCTGCGACAGAGACGTTTGATATGATCAAGCAGGCTTACCCAGGTGTTGCTTTAGCAAGAAGTGGTGTGTTTCGGTGGCACTAGGCCTTTTTGGAGGACCGGGAAGAGGTCGCAGACCTTCGACAAAGACCGATAATGTGACTCGTGTGCGCAAAGTTTTGAACTCAGACCGTCGACTAAGTATAAGTTTAATTACCCGGATGTTAAATTTACCAAAATCTGTGGTTCATGACATTGTGACACAGCATTTGAACATGCGCAAGGTGTGCGCGAAGATGGTCCCAAAAGTGCTCACTGACGACCAGAAATTGCGGCGAGGGGAAGTGTGCCAAGAAAATTTGAACATGTGTGAAAGTAACCCCCAATTTTTGAATAACGTAATCACAGGTGACGAGTCGTGGATCTTTGAGTATGATCCCGAGACAAAGAGGCAATCTTCCGAATGGCACACGACGGCGTCTCCTCGCCCAAAAAGGGAAGAATGAGCAAATCCAAAGTGAAAACGATGCTCATTGTCTTTTTGACATCAAAGGCATCGTCCAACCATGAATTTGTTCCTCCTGGACAAACCGTCAACGCCAAGTTTTACGTGGAAGTGCTCAGGAGACTCAAACGAAGGGTCAGTCGGGTCCGACAAGACATCGCAGCCGACTGGAAGTAGCACCACTACACCGCCTTTCTTGTGAACAGCTAGATGACCAAGGCCGGCATCCCAACGCTTCCGCAGCCGCCCTACAGCCCAGATGTGCCCCCCCGGACTTTTTTTGTTTCCTCGCCTGAAAAGGCCGATGAAAGGCAATCATTTTGAGGGGCCTGACATGACTTCCGTTGATCCACTACTAACTTTACACCCTGTATATCCCTCATCCAATAAATAGCAAGGATACTGATTCCACCCCATCCTTTGATAATACACCGAGACACCTGTATTCAGAAAAAAGGATGTCGGAATGCAAGCTTTATAGAAGTGACAACGATTTGGATGCCTTTGAGCCGCGTACTTTTCATGTTTTACGATATCTCGTCGATTTATTCTTCGAAAATTTGTGCGAAGAATAGTAAGCAGGTGCAGAACACCGGTATAAAGCCGTTGATCCTTATAACTGCGACGTATATTTCTCCTTGGTGGCGAAACGTAGAGCGTGGAAAATCGAGACTGAACTGTTGAAGTGTGCGAAACGCGACAATGGATGTTTTGGAAATCAAGATGTATAGAGAAGATAGAGTTCGTAAATTTTATATTGGATATTCATAATCATCTAGATAACATACGCCGACAAAAACCAGAGTATACTTTCTCGAAGGAATTAGCTGTAGTTCCAGGGCTATCCTAATCGAAAAGGGTGAAAATACCGGTGTTTGCCTATATTTGAGGTTATGTCATCATGTTATATCAATTCATAAACGATGAAGTTCAGGGCACTTGAACAACAGAGGAATTAAAGAGATCAAGTCAGCCAAACAAGCCCATCCAATTAGTACATTGACATTATTTTCCTGCCCTACTGGTAGTTACTGTCCATCTGGCAACGTTGTCCCTTTCCACATCTGCGCTGCAGCGCCCACCGCGTCAACACTGGGCCATGCACCATAACCTCAAATATAGGCAAACACCGCTATGTTTGCACTTTTAGGTAAGGACCTAGGAAACTAGAGCCATCTGAGAAATTTGGATCACGGATTCATATCAAATACCTTTGGGATAGTATACTCTGACTCACTTTAATCGGACTGTGCAATCTTAAACAGTTTAAAAAAACGTTGCAACTTTGGAAAACTACGACGTGATTTGCAATGTACGAGAGCGGTTCAATAAGTATCCGTGTTAGAAATGAAGACACCATTTTTTCCAAAAAAATTCTTTTTCCATCAGCATCACGTGTTACTGGAATCGGTGCCAAATCCAAACTAACCTATCAATCTGGCCTTGGATCCTCACTTACGATGGGACATCCATGTCAATTATATTTTGAAGAAAGTTAGATTTGTATCCTACAAAATTAAATACCTTGGGAATATATTGACAGAAAAATATCTTCGAACATTATACCATGCACTGATTGAGCCTCATCTCACATATGGTATATTAGCATGGGGAGCTGCATGTTCCTCACATATCTATAATTTAGATGTTTTTCAGAAAAGTATTCTAAAAATGATATTTAAAAAACCGAAACTTTATCCCACTGAAAAATTATACGCAGATGTTCGAATGTATGATATAAGACAGCTTTATTTCTTACACAGTATCACTCACTACCATAAATTTGTAAACACCGACCAAAAAATTAAACATAATCATTATACCAGGTACAAAATTCGTGGCACAGTAGTTCCTCAACCGCATAAATCTATAATGCAGCGATCATATCTCTCTTTAGCGCCTAAATTTTATGAAATTATACCTAAAGACTTAAAAGATTTACGTTTCGGAAATTGTTTCAAAAGAAATTTAAAAAAGTGGCTACATTCTATATCTAGGACTGAAATTCATAAACTCATAAATACGAACATCAACTAAATACATAATCTACTGTAGCTAATTTTTGTCCTTTTTGTCATTTGCATTCTACAGTTTCAACTTAAGTTATTGGTCCATGTACAGGCGATGCCTTCTATTGGGCCTGTTTTGATTTTATATTTATTTACTCATATTGTTTGTTATCTTTGTACATTGAGTGAATAAATATTATTATTATTATTATTATTAATCAGACTGAAATTTGTTGTGCCGTCGTTTGATAGATGGCAGCACACGATGAAAACATTAACTTTCCACGCCATCTGTCGTAAAACACGGGTACTTATTGAACCGCCCTCGTAGATACATTGGTAAATAATGTTTATGAATCTGATGCCAGATGGGAAGATTCAAAAGTCCTATTCGTCTACTCTAAATACGGATTTGCAACATTTTAGCATTTCTTGATTCGAAATCAACGTCCCAAATTAGATTAAAGTTCCCAGTTTTGTTCGGTTGTAGCTACAGGCTACGCAAATAGATTCGATCAACTTGAAATTTTAGTTAGTCTACGGCCGAAAAAAAACCCTCATGAACCCCAAACTCAGTTAAGAGTCGGTAGCGAATTTTGCATGGCTGTCAAAGTGCATACAAAGTAGCTCGGCTATTAAAATAATAGTGCCATTATTGGTAGGTGCATAAGAAAATAGAACAGCAAATAGAGATATACCTTTTCCCATTGCTACAGCCCCCAATTCGTAACCCCAACAAATTTTTTTCTGAAAACGATTCTCTGTATCGTCTAAAAGTTTGAGCGATTTTAATTTTTTCATTGTTTGCCAATAGCTCCGCCTCCACTGGTTCTTGGAATTACAGTAACCTTGTCTGAAACTTTTATCAAAATCCGAGCAGTGCTTTCCGCCAATAATAGAAACTAGCGGACAGATAGACCGACATGAATGACATCATTTAATATGCAAAAAACATATATCATTTTCGATTTTTTTCGCAATCACACTTCTTCGCCAGTGGTGTGGGAAGTAAAAATGCAATACAGGTTCAAAAAAGGCACCGGCGTACAGAACCTTTTTTTTGTTCTTCTCTAGGAGTCGATTTTCCATTTTTTAAATATTTATTATTAAGTCTTTGAAAATGTAATAAAAGTATGACTATCCTGTTGAATGCAAATGTTAAATCTCCATTCTACTATGCGTTATTGTTCGTTTAACATCCAAGAGTTGATCAACTCTCAATCAAAGGCGCTAAGCCCGCTACTGGATGGTGGAGGTCAAGCATCAACTTTCACCGTAGTGCCATGGGAATCGCTCCGAATGTATAATTTATTTTGATTCGCAAACAAATTTTAGAGGTCATGTTTATACAAACTCTGTTATTGTTCAATTATCTTCTGCATCAGGAATAAGGCCACTGTTTTCCAACCATGCCGGGTAAACAAACATCTCGTTTCAATCGGCATATTTACCTATCCAAGTCAAGCGGATGAACACTAACCCCAAAAATGTTCGATATACAGGGTGTCCTATTTCAATTTCCCACAAATTTTACAAACAAAAGATGCGTTGTCGAGTTTAGATGTTGTTTTAACGTCAAGGTCATATTCTGAAGTACAATTTCCTGCTTTTTCCATTTCCATTAAAAAAAAAATGATTCCTTTGCAAATTTTGACTTCTCTTGAAGACCATGGTCAAGGTCACCTAGCAAATTGTTTTCGATGTCCTGATGTGGTGTTGAAATGGCCTTGAATGCCGTGGTCAAAGTCATGGCCAAAGTAAGATTTGGACGTAGTTTCCTCTCCTTTTCAATTTCTGTTTGAAAAAAGAGGGGTTCCGTTCGAAAATATTTACCTGACATTGAAATGACCTTTAAGATCGCGTTAAAGGTTATTGTCAAGGTGACCGCTCGTAATTTATATGTTATATATACAGGGTGGCGCATCGAAAACGAAACAGACGCGTTTACTGGCAGCTCAGTTTTTTTTTGGAAAACGCTCAGACCCGTCGATTTTGTTTTCGAGGGGGACACAAGTTTGGCAAAAAATCACGTTAACACGTGCAGCCCCGTGGGTGGGGGTGACACCAACCCTAAAATCTTAAATGGAAAGGGAGGTCGAGTGATACCTTATTTTAAAGGTCTTTCAATTCCCTTTATAATGATATAAAATTAATGTACTTCAGTTTAATAGTTTTGAAAATGTATTGATTTAAATCTCAAATAAAACTAATACATCATCATTAGTGGAAATCAATACATTGGCAAAAAACTGAGCTGCCAGTAAATGCGTCTGTTTCGTTTTCGATGCGCCACCCTGTATATATATATTTATATTATATTTAAAACTTTACTAGCTTTTGTGCCTCGTGATTTTACCCTTTTTATTTGCATTTATAAGACGAGTTTAATTGAACAAAAGCTCATTCGCTTAATTAAATTTATTAAACCTTCCACTCAGATTGATTACGCCAATTTATTCAAAATTATTGAACTGTTAAAATGAGTTTACCAGCTTCAAGTAAAACAATTTAATTAAAAAAGGTTTTTTTTAAGTTGGTATTATTTTGACAGTTGGTAACACTTCCATGCTCAACATATTGACAGATATAGTGTGTCAAACTTCCGCTGTGCTTGTGGATAACAGAAGGTATGAGGTATGAGCGTGTTCGACCCGTACGTACAGCCGAAAACATTGCATTGCTGCTGTTGCCCAGAGCGTGCGTAAAAACGCAAGAATGTCAACTCGTCACAGAGCACAAGTCTGTGCGGAGAATATTGCATAACAACCTGGGATTATTTCGTTGCAAGATGCAACTTGTGCAAGAGATGAAACAACCGTCCGTTTCGATATCGTTTCTCTGTGTGGGCTCCTAATCAATTGGAAACGGGCGTCAATTTTGGAGGTTAAGTTAACAAGCAGAACTGTAGGTTTGGGGTTCTGAAAATCCACATGTCGTCATAGAAAAACCAATGCATCCAAAAAGAGTAACTGTTTGGTGTGGCTTTTGGAGTGGTGGGATTATTGGTCCCTACTTTTTTCAAGATGAAAATGGTAACAGCGTGACGGTAAACGAGGAACGCTATAGATACATGTTGAGGAGTTTTTTATGGTCACTATTAGACGACATGCACTTGCACAATTCTGGTTCCAGCAGGATGACGCAACATGCCACACCACCCATGAAATAATCGATCTTTAACACACTAAGTTCGGTCATCGCGTTATCAGCCGTTTGGGAGACGTTCATTGGCCAGCGCAGCTGTGATTTGACGCTCATGGATTACTTCCTATGGGGTACTGTTGAAGATCGCTGTTTCACTAACTTTTGATGTTCTTAAGGAAAATATCCGTCGAGCTCTACACAAACTATCGAAATTGTTTTTTATGAATAATCGGAAGGTGTATTCTTTCGAATAAAGTATCGAGTGTTACATATTATTGAAGAGTGTAGTTTTAATACCAATTTAAAAAATAACCCAACGGATGGCCCCACCCTTTATTTATTAAATTTGTTTAATCAGTTTAGGTAAAAGTGTTTGTCTAGTTTTGATGAAATATCTTATTTAGAACTAAAAGGATATTTGGACAATATTTGGGATTGACAAGAACAAATACGATAGCCCTTTACATACAGGGTTTGTCTGGAAAGTAATAGGACTCATTTAGAGGGCGTTCCTAGCCAACGAATGAGCGGCTGGTCAGTTGTCTCCGAGCACTTGGAGAGACGGGACAGGCATTTTCGCGCGACTTGTTTCTGTGAGTGGTGCAAGCCGAAAATGCAGCGTTCGTTAGAGCAGAGGTACGCGATTAAATTCTGTGCGAAACTCGGTAAATCTGCGACAGAGACGTTTGATATGATCAAGCAGGCTTACCCAGGTGTTGCTTTAGCAAGAAGTGGTGTGTTTCGGTGGCACCAGGCCTCTTTGGAGGGCCGGGAAGAGGTCGCAGACCTTCGACAAAGACCGATAATGTGACCCGTGTGCGCAAAGTTTTGAACTCAGACCGTCGACTAAGTATTCGTATAATTGCCCAGATGTTAAATTTACCAAAATCTGTGGTTCATGACATTGTGACACGGCATTTGAACATGCGCAAGGTGTGCGCGAAGATGGTCCCAAAAGTGCTCACTGATGACCAGAAATTGCGGCGAGTGGAAGTGTTCCAAGCAAATTTGAACATGTGTGAAAGTGACCCCCAATTTTTGAATAACGTAATCACAGGTGACGAGTCGTGGATTTTTCAGTATGATCCCGAGACAAAAAGGCAATCTTCCGAGTGGCACACGACGGCGCCTCCTCGCCCAAAAAAGGGAAGAATGAGCAAATCCAAAGTGAAAACGATGCTCATTGTCTTGTTTTACGTGGAAGTGCTGAGGAGACTCAAACGAAGGGCCAGTCGGGTCTGACAAGACATCGCAGCCGACTGGAAGTTGCATCACGACAACGCCCCGGCTCACACCGCCTTTCTTGTGAACAGCTACCTGACCAAGGCCGGCATCCCAACGCTTCCGCAGTCGCCCTACAGCCCAGATGTGGCCCCCGGACTTTTTTTTGTTTCCTCGCCTGGGGCGATGAAAGGCAAGCATTTTGAGACGACAGAGGGGCTCCAAGCAGCATGCACCGCGGCTCTCAAGGCTATTCCGGAGAATGCCTTTCGACTCAGTCCTATCACTTTCCGGACAAACCCTGTACATCGGTCAGCATATTTACTTACCCAAGTCAAACGGATGAACAGAATAACACCAAAAATGTTCTGTATGCAGGGTAGGTAGACCCCAATGAGGGTGCCCATTCTGGCGCCCCCAGCAGCCGGCCGAGCATCTGGATCGTTGGACGCTGGCGGGATGGTGTTGGAGTAGTTTGCTAGCGAGCTGATCAGGGTTGATATCCGCGGCCGATCTTCCATTTCTTCAGAATACAAGTAGAGGTTTGTCTCGTACCCGGACATCTTCTCGGATACGAACGGTTGATCTTCCGTGCCATCTCCTGAAACAATACAGAACTGAGCACTGAGTTCACAGCGCGGATGGAACTGGTCAACACTGAGAAAAATTCTAATGTTTTTATTTTATTTTGGTTAGATTAAGTATACTGGCTTACAACTCTAGCAGCTCTAGTATTAAATTTATTTTTTCTACACGGAAGCAGCCGTTTAGGTAGAAGCCTGAATACCAGGGCACCGAGGAGCGTTGATCCGATTTTTGAACTGCCTAAGGTTAGCAAAACTAGGAAAAGTCTCCTCAGATAGATTGTTCGACAATCTTGATACCCAGGGACAAAGGAGCGGTCATATTGGCCAGGTCTCACCTGGGTCTTGGACAGACAAGAGAGTGAATATAATATTTACGAAACACCTCATAATAATCCAATAAAAGAGCCCTTTCTTAATGACAATAATACTGAGACGACTTCAATTTGAAATTTTCCACGATTACAATACTTCACTTACTCATGCTTAGTTTGTAGTTCGAATCATTTCATAACTTCATAACCAACGTATTATACCTTGTCTAACCCTTTTTAGTAATTCCGGCCAAGTATCCGGAACCGAGTCTGTTCCGAATTTAGGAGGAAGTTGTGAGTTTCACGCGCTGTCTATTTTGCGCAACTCCCATCTCTCCCGGATAGCGCGACCCTCCCAACCCCCCGGTTCACCCCCGTTTGTCTTCTCCTCCCTTCTCTTGCAGCCACGAGAGTGGAACGTGATTTCCTGCCGATGCAAAACTCTCGCGTTAATTCCCAACAATGCTTTTCACTGGGTCAACCATCAACTCTCACTGCAATGGAGCCTTTGGATATGCAATTTCTTCTGAATGGATTTTGCACAGGAAACCGGGTCATGCGTTATTTCGGATGTTTTTTCTTCCCGCGCCTCTGGCGGAGAAATTAGAAAATAAGATATATTTACACGGGAGCAACCGCGTAGGTGGAAGCCTAAACATCAGGGCAACGCGGCTGTTATGTGAAGCACTTTGTTAATCCAATTTTTGGACTGCCTAAGGTTAGTAGAACTGGCTGGTGGCTCACAACATATTTTAAAAAAGGTGTAAAAATCATAGAAGCTTCCGTAAATTTTGTAAATTCTCATAATTAACACAATCAGCGGCAACACTGCGGTGAGCGATCTGTTCGAGAACGAACTCGATTACTTTTAACGGAATACGGTTGGGTTAGAGTTGACCTGCAATTAAAAACATTATGAGCAGTAGTAAGAAGATGAAAACATACAATTTCCATTCGGAATGGGAAGAACAATATTTCTTTAAAGAAGTTAAAGGTAAAAATATATGTTGTTACGTAATATATCTCTTTCCGTTGCTAAAAAAGGCAATATCATTCCCATTACGTTCTGCAACCAGAACGGAAAAACTGAAACAATTAGAAAATCAGTTAATTGGACAACAGACAATGTTTTTAAAAACGATCGACAAAAGTAAGGCTGCAACTGAGGCATTTATTAGGCAGGTCAGTCCAAAGCCTACCTTCTCCTTAAGTTTGTCGTGGTACTTATTGGACACCCTGTATGATGTACGTAAACTCTTAGTTTTCAATAAACTATTTTCTTTTTTTGAATTACCTGGTAAGATATTCCAGTTATTTGTTTATTGAAATTGTAAAAATCAATTGATTATATCGTCATTAGCAAAGCTCTGGATCGGATTGTACAGGAAAGGAGGTCGTTTATACAGGGTGACTTCGAAGTTGAGTCATTTATTTTAACAGTGAGTAGATCTGATCAAAAGAAATGTTTTTATCCTTTAACATTTTTCTGGTAAAATTAAAGTAACAAAGTTATAGCCCTTTAGAAGTTTGAGTACCGCCCTGTCTCAATAATAATATTATGTGCTCGTGTTTGGCAACAACGGATATAATCCGCCTTATCCGTTCATCGCATCGGAAACAAAAAAGCGAAAGAATTTGAAACGATGTTTTTACTACAATGTACAATTTTATTCAGTTGTATTCAATCGATGTGTCAGTCGGTAACGCGTGAGTGAATAGTGGTGTTTGTTGCGTGGCTCAAACGAAATAAAAAATGGCACATGTTTACGAAAATGCTGAAAGTAGTACAAAGGGCTCGTGAATCAGGTGACTTAAGACCTCACAGGGGAGGGCATGCCGGTGCTCCAAGACCGCACGATCAAATACAGGTCCGCACTGAAATACTTGTCGGGAGGATACTTTATAAAACAAGGTAACATTTTTTTTTCACCCTGTATGTATGTCGGAGCCAAGTCCGATCTCTGGGGAACACCCGTGTTGACATTGTGGGTGGAATAGGAAAACCCGTCGATTATGACGGATGTTTCGCTGCCAGAGAGGAAGTCCCATCTGCAAAACTTCTGTGAGAGGTCATAGTATGGAAGTCTCTTCTCTGGGTTAACTGGTGCCACAGTTTTCTCATGGGAGGAGGGGCGATGTTGCCAGATGGAGCGTACTATCGGTAAGGCTGGGAAAATGTGTCTATGGCGTAATTGTATGGGCCTGTTTGACTGACGATCCGCTTAATTTCTCTGTTTTACATCTACGTAATCAACATTTTTCTCAGGGCAGCTACTTGTGTGTAATTGATGCGGGGCAGTGCAGAGTCAACCTGCTTGACGCAATTTTTCCCATGTAGGGTTGGTGTTCCGGTTGGTCTGCTCATTTCTCTAGAAAATTTGTCCCCGTTACAAATCTCTTTACGAGACAGAAGGACTTTAACATTTTTGGTGATTCTACGCACCCATTCGACATATTTCATACATAATAGATTTCCACGAACATCGCCCCAGAATGATAGAGAAGTATTTTCAATATACGCGTCCCACGCAACTCGCAATCGATGCGTGGTTGTAACGTCGTGCCGAGTTCTCGAGTAAGTCGCAGCGACGTTGCCAGATGAGCGGTATTGTCGGTAGGGAGGGGGAGAAATAACTAGATCGCAACGTGAGATGTGAGGGGAATATGGACAATTTTATGGGCCTGTTTAACTTCATTAGTAACATAACCCTTTATGAACTGATGACAGCATTGCATGTGAAGTGCAGAGTCAACCTACGTTGGAAATGTATAGGATAGAAATTGTTCAACATTGCCTTTTGGCTCAATCAACTCTTAACCCTGATGTCAAGAAACAGTTTTGGGTTACGCAATTTCTTCTGACCGAATTTCGCACAGGCTGCTATATAAAAGAAACTGGGTCATCCGGTTGAAATGCGTTATTCCGGATCTTTTTCCTACGCAGAGGAGAGCGGAGTAATTTCGTCCCTAAAACTTTCCAGTTCGGCATGATTGCTTTAGTTCCAATGGCCATATAAGACAATTTATTGTAGTCCAGGCGACATACATACTGGGAATTTCTGTGCCCCACTTCAAAAACATCTGTCTGACTGCATTGCTCAGCTTAATGTGATACGAAATCTGAAACCGTTGTCATCGATGTTTTACGAGTAAGTATCGGAACAAAATTTCAGAAATTGGACAGAAACATTCAAAAATGTATGAACACCGTCTTAAAAGTTTATTAATACAATTTCCATGACAGATAGATAGAAAATCTTATCTGGACTTTCTCCAAACTTCCGATTCTGTCAGTCTGTCTGTCGATTTGTCTACCGGTCTGTCTCTATTATTCAAAATTTTGAAAAACCGAAGAAAATGGTTTTACATTGATTTCCTGTGTTTCGTAATTTTAGGGCGTACTCGTGAATAAAGCTTTGAAATTTGGTCAGGGTCTTTTGTTGAGCTAAATGTGTATATTAATGAATTCTCAAACCACACTGTGTCTCGAATATTTTCGATGTGTATCTATATGGATGTGTGGCAAATAACGAACCACAGAATTAAGCATCTTGGCTTCCTAATACGCCCGACTGAGCGCTTAAGCATATCCATAAAAGCAGTCAGATGTCTATATTAAGTGACATATAAATCCGAACACCCAGTTTAAATGGTTTTATTTTAATAAAAGTTGGTGATTGTATTTATCTTACTGTAAATAACAAGTGAACAAATTTTCAGCCTTATCAGTTGGAAATTCCGGTTTTTATACTGCTTTTTTTTTTAATTCACTAACGCTCTAAAAATGAATATTTCAGCCGCAGTAAAGAATCAACGTTGGCGGATTTTGGTTCTTGACATCCTTTACGATCGGTTACGATGCCTAGAGTACGGAGACCTGTACGATTTCGTCAACTTAGTGAGTTTGATAGGGGTCGTATAGTGGGACTTCGGGAAGCTGGACTTTCTTTTCGGGTAATTGCAGTTAGAGTGCAAAGAAGTGGTTAAGTGTTGTCAGGCATGGCTTCGAGAAGGCCGTACGCAAAGAGCAAGGGGCACTGGACGCCGCCGTAGAACAACAGACCGTGAAGATCGCCGAGTAAGATTATTGGCCTTAAGGGACCGTTTCTCCACTACCAGGTCCATTGCAAATGAATGGTTTGCAGAACACGGAAGACCGATTGGCATGCGAAGTGTTTACCGACGAATGAGAAGTTTTGGCTTGTTTTCATACCGGCCACATTGGGTCCTCCCTTTAACTCGAGAACACTGACGTAATCGCCTTGAGTGGTGCAGACAACGGTCACTCTGGGATCAGGAATGGAACAGTATTGTCTTTAGTGACAAGTCTCGATTTTGTTTAGGCATGCACGATGGTCGTGCCAGGGTTAGAAGGCGAAGTGGTGAAAGGAGGAATCCACAGTTTTTTGTTGAAAGACATGTTCATCACGCTGTTGGAGTTATGGTTTGGGGTGCTATAGCTTATGGTTCCAGGTCACCTTTAATCTTCATCAGAGGTAACATGAACGCGCAGCGTTATATCCACGAAGTTCTAGAACCCCATCTTTTACCCTATCTTGACACCCTGGCAGATCCAACTTTCCAACAAGATAATGCCCGACCACATGTTGCAAGAGTCACAATAGACTTCTTTCAACATAATGATGTCACATTGTTACCATGGCCACCAAGATCTCCCGACTTATCCCCAATTGAGCACGTGTGGGATATGATGGGTAGGAGATTGCTCAATTTGCAACGTCCTCATCAGACTCTAGAAGCACTTCGAGAGGAGTTGGTGGTTGCCTGGAATGAGATACCACAGGGACATTGACCACCTGATCAGAAGCATGCCTAGGCGCGTTGGAGAATGCGTAGCACATCAGGGTGCATCCACACATTATTAAAGGTCAAAGGGCTTCAAAGCAGTGCAATCATTTTGAAATTTTTATCATTTACTTATTATGCTTCATTAAGTACTTATACAAAATTTTATTAAAATAAAACCATTTAAACTGGGTGTTTGGATTTATATGTCACTTAGTATATTTCCAGTAGAACTAAAAGTTTCTTAATTATCAAAGCGCACATTATCAGTAGACGGTTAGATGTTTTGAAAAGAAACCAAAACAAGAATTCTAGCTAAGTATCTAGCAAGATAAGATCATTAATTGATTTTTCTCAGAAGAATTAGTAACAGCTGGGAGCCCTTGAGCATTTTTGATTGATTTTTTTTAATATTAGGTATTTTGGATATTGTTCCACATTCAGAGACATTTGAAATATGAGATGATACGATTAAATTGAAGACGTTATTTTTATACGTCTTTCGGCTTACTTAATTAATCGGCTCGACATGGGAACAGTGTTTTATTACAACAAAAGTTGATGCGACAATTAGGACAACACATGTTAGTGGCTGACCGAAAAATGTGTATCAAAACGGAAGTTAGAATACAATAGAAAAGATTTATTTAGCTTTAAGCTACTTCAAACAATAATAAATATTATTTACAAAAATATGTTAAATTTTAGCATAACTAGATGTTTTTACATTAATAGGCAGATTGTTGTGCATTTTTAGACCTTCAACAAACATTGACTTTTCTAAAACTTTTAATCTGAATCTTTGTATATAATTTTCTTTTGATCTAATGTCGTAACCTTGCATTTCATATCTTTTTTTTAGAAACTGTTCAAGATAAGGTGCAGCCTGATTACTGATAATTTTATATAAAAGAATTAAATTTGCCATCTTGAATAATTTGGAGTATGTTTAAAAAATTTAATGCCTTTAGCATATCCTGTATAGAGGTATACCTGCTACAATTTAACAAAATCCGCATACATTTATTTGATAGAATTTGTAACCTTTGATTTTGCTCATTTGTGCATGTAATCAAAAAAGATGCACTATAAGTAAAATGAGGAAAAATTATTGTATTCTGCACCAGGGACCCGATCTTTTTGACTAATTTCCGACACACATAGTCAACATGTTCGTTGAAAGCTGGTTGTCGATCTATTATAATACCTAAATACTTGAAACTATCTACAAAATCAAGTACCTCTCCCTCAGTTTTCACTGGCGTATTTAAATCTACCAATTTCTTGCAATTATTTTTCGAACCTATGATCATACTATACTTTTTCTATATTCTTCAATAACGAGTTTCACATTAAATAAAACAAATGTATTGATGAAGAGGAAAAAGATGAACACAGCAAAGATGAAGAGGATGTGTAATAACCTATTAGATGATTGGAAAGTTGATTTCAAGATGACAGTATCCATATTGACATACATAGAACAGAGAAATAAGCAAACGTTGGGACCACACAAACTACTGTTAGAATCATCTCCAGCTGAAGGGATTGTTCTTTGATGTTGGAATTTTTGTGTTTCAAGGTTACTATGCACAATTTAGAAGAAAATTGCTATTGCCTAGGTCATTTCCAGCAATGCTGGTCAACACGTGAGCTTTTCCAATGTTGGTGACCTTTCTTGGTACATTATTACTATTATTTAGATCCAGCTTTCGGGACATTAGTCCAAAAAATACAAACTTAAAAACCATCGGAATGTACTGTCGATTGCAACAGAACAGTAACAAGTAAAATCCTTTTTCATGAATATGGGAATATTTGCGCCACATATTAGAAATACTTACTAAATTGATAGAAATAGAAAAAAAATTGGAAATAATGCATAAGAAAAATTAATATAAAAGATCGTGCCCAGGCATTTAAATGAATATAGTTGGGATGGAAACTCTACTAAAGCTTTGGCATTTAATAGAGAGATGTCTTGATGATAATAGATAAGAGTATCGAAGATCTATAGGCGATTAGAAAAATAAAAAAATAATTTGAAAAGCACATTTCCCATAATGATATTTTTAGGATGGATATGGAAATATTTGCGTCACATATTAGAAATACCTAGAAGACACCATACTAAATTGATAGAAACAGAAACAAAATTTGTTAAGAAAAATTAATATAAAAGATCGTGTCCAGGTATTTAAATGAATATAGTTGGGATGGAAACTCTACTAAAGCTTTGGCATTTAATAGAGAGATGTCTTGATGATAATAGATAAGAGTATCGAAGATCTATAGGCGATTAGAAAAATAAAAAAAATAATTTGAAAAGCACATTTCCCATAATGATATTCTTAGTCGGAAAAATTATTCACCGAGTTTTAAAGGTACTGGGGGAGATAGTTGTCCTTTACTATGGAAATTAGGACGACACATGTTACTGTTACCAGAATATTTGGCTGAAGAAATTGTTGTCTATGACTGAAAGGATTATTGTTTTCAATGTGATAATGCACAGGTGTCTAAAAGACACGTATTGTCAAGTTTATCAATACGGTTAAAAGAGGTCAAATATCATCAGCATGGAGGTTTACGTATTTCTCCTATTGGTGTCTCCTATCTTTCTCGGTAAACTGTTACTATTTAGATCCAGCTTTCGAGACATTAGTCCAAAAAATACAAACTTCAAAAACATCGGAATGTACTGTCGATTGCAACAGAACAGTAACAAGTAAAATCCTTTTTCAAGGATATGCAAATATTTGCGACACATATTAGAAATACCTAGAAATCACATACTAAATTGATAGAAACAGAAAACAAAATTGGAAATAATGGTTAAGAAAAAAAGAAACTCTACTGAAGCTTTGGCATTTAATAAAGAGATGTCTTGATGATAATTAATAAGAGTATCGAAGATCTATAGGCGATTAGAAAAATAATTTGATTAATTATTCATTGAGTTTTAAGGGTACTGGGGGGAGATAGTTGTCATTGGCTGAAGGAATTGTTGTCTATTTTAGGTGCCTAAGAGACAGGTATTGTCAAGTGTACCAGTACTGTTAAAAGAGGTCAAATATCATCAGCATGGAGGTCATATTTCTCCTATTGGTGTCTCCTACCTTTCTTGGCAAACTGTTACTACTTAGATCCAGCTTTCGAGACATTAGTCCAAAAAATACAAACTTCAAAAACATCGGAATGTACTGTCGATTGCAACAGAACAGTAACAAGTAAAATCCTTTTTCAAGGATATGTAAATATTTGCGACACATATTAGAAATACCTAGAAATCACATACTAAATTGATAGAAACAGAAAACAAAATTGGAAATAATGGTTAAGAAAAAGTAATATAAAAGATCGTGCCCAGGGGGTGGAAACTCTACTGAAGCTTTGGCATTTAATAGAGAGATGTCTTGATGATAATTAATAAGAGTATCGAAGATCTATAGGCGATTAGAAAAATAATTTGATTAATTATTCATTGAGTTTTAAGGGTACTGGGGGGAGATAGTTGCCCTTGGCTGAAGGAATTGTTGTCTATTTTAGGTGCCTAAGAGACAGGTATTGTCAAGTGTACCAGTACTGTCAAAAGAGGTCAAATATCATCAGCATGGAGGTCATATTTCCCCTATTGGTGTCTCCTACCTTTCTTAGTAAACTGTTACTATTTAGATCCAGCTTTCGAGACATTAGTCCAAAAAATACAAACTTCAAAAACATCGGAATGTACTGTCGATTGCAACAGAACAGTAACAAGTAAAATCCTTTTTCATGGATATGTAAATATTTGCGACACATATTAGAAATACCTAGAAGTCACATACTAAATTGATAGAGACAACAAAAAATTGGAAATAATGGTTAAGAAAAAGTAATATAAAAGATCGTGCCCAGGGGGTGGAAACTCTACTGAAGCTTTGGCATTTAATAGAGTCTTGATGATAATTAATAAGAGTATCGAAGATCTATAGGCGATTAGAAAAATAATTTGATTAATTATTCATTGAGTTTTAAGGGTACTGGGGGAGATAGTTGCCCTTGGCTGAAGAAATTGTTGTCTATTTTGGGTGCCTAAGAGACAGGTATTGTCAAGTGTACCAGTACTGTTAAAAGAGGTCAAATATCATCAGCATGGAGGTCATATTTCCCCTATTGGTGTCTCCTACCTTTCTTGGTAAACTGTTACTATTTAGATCCAGCTTTCGAGACATTATTCCAAAAAATACAAACTTCAAAAACATCGGAATGTACTGTCGATTGCAACAGAACAGTAACAAGTAAAATCCTTTTTCAAGGATATGTAAATATTTGCGACACATATTAGAAATACCTAGAAGTCACATACTAAATTGATAGAAACAAAAAAAAATTGGAAATAATGGTTAAGAAAAATTGATATAAAAGATCGTGCCCAGGGGCTGGAAACTCTACTGCAGCTTTGGCATTTAATAGAGAGATGTCTTGATGATAATTAATAAGAGTATCGAAGATCTATAGGCGATTAGAAAAATAATTTAATTAATTATTCATTGAGTTTTAAGGGTACTGGGGGGAGATAGTTGCCCTTGGCTGAAGGAATTGTTGTCTATTTTAGGTGCCTAAGAGACAGGTATTGCCAAGTGTACCAGTACGGTTAAAAGAGGTCAAATATCATCAGCATGGAGGTCATATTTCCCCTGTTGGTATCTCCTACCTGTCTTTGTGGGCGAGCAGTGGCCATCGGCAAGCTGTTTAGCAGGCGATGGATCAGAAGGTTTTTCTTCCGGAGCAGACATAGTGAATTGTTATTATTTGGATCCGGGTTCCAGGACGTCAGTCCGGATCGAGCGAAGCGCGCGGACTGCTCTCGCGTGGCGTTACCGTTGCTAAGTCACTGAGATCTGGTCCTGATGGTATAGCGCAGCATCCAGAGCGGGCTTTCCAGTGCACCCCCGCCCGTTTCGACCCCGCACCAGCCCCTTCTCTCTGTTCGGGAGGAACGTTTTCAGCTAGGCAGCAACTCGCGATCTGCGCGAATTTCTGCGTTGCCCGGGGAAGCTCGCGAATCGATGAAAATTTCTGATTCGGTCAATTTCTTCAAAGTGATTCACCACCGTTGTTCAATAAATGATAATAGCATGGTATAATCATTATGATAAGAAAAAAATAATGAGAAATGACATGTCTTTGTGTATTGCAGAGTCATCAACCAAATATTAAGATATCGTTGTAAACAACGTGATTATTAGAAGTACATACCGTACCTATTTGGACAAATAAGTCATCATTGAACACTTTGATATCTTAAAGCGCATGCGTAATGTCTGCCGTGGCCATATCGCGAAACTGCACTTTTCATGAAATTATCGCATATCATATCAGATCATGATGGACGTTGACCAGATCAGTGATAATGAATCGTTAAGCGTAAAGCTTTCATTCAACTTAAATCTAAATCTTGGAACTGGATTTTGACCAGTTAATCTTAATCGGTTGAGCTGAAATTTTGCAAACACGTTTGGTTCGCGTGACAATACAAAATAAATTAACTGCCGCCATTTTGAATCCAATATGGCGGATGTTACAAAATGGCGATTTATCATTTCTATAGTAACCTCTATTATCAAATAAAAGGACTTGATGAGGGGAACACAATAAGAAAAGTGAAGTCATTCTAAATCCAATATGGCGGCCGCCGAAATATGGCGTTTTATAATGTCTGAGTATCATATGGAATGGCTTCTAAATCCAATATGATGATCGCCGCTAATTGGCGATTTATGATTTCATCACTGTGATATGAGTATCAAATTAAAGGGCTTACTGGGAGAAACATAAAGAGCAAAGTGACGTCATTCTAAATCCAATATGGCGGCCGCCGCTAACTGGCGATTTATAATTTGACCACTATGATATGGGTATCAAATTAAAGGGCTTAAAGGGAGAAACATAAAAGGCAAAGTGAAGACATTCTAAATAAAAAAAGGAGGCCGCCTAAATATGGCGTTTTATAATTTCTATGAGTATCAAATGGAATGGCTTCTAAATCCAATATGATGGTCGCCGCTAATTGGCGATTTATGATTTCATCACTATCATATGAGTATCAAACTAAAGGGCATAATGGGAGAAGCATAAAAAGCAAAGTGACGTCATTCTAAATCTAATATGGTGGCTCCTGAAATATGGCGTTGTATAATTTCTATAGTTACTTCTATACTATGAGTATTAAATGAAGTAGCTTGATGAAAACATAATTAGCAAGGTGACGCCATTCAAAATCCAATATGGTGGCCGCCGCTAACTGGCGATTTATAATTTGACCACTATGATATGGGTATCAAATTAAAGGGCTTAATGGGAGAAACATAAAAGGCAAAGTGAAGACATTCTAAATCCAATAGGGCCGTCGCCGAAATATGACCTGTTTGACTGACTTTTTTCTCAGAGGACCTAGTTTGTGCTGACCACAATTCTGTATGAATTGATAACGGGGTTGGGTGGGAAGTGCACTCAACCTACTTGACGCTATTTTTTTACAAAAAAATTCATGGTTGACATGTTTTCAAAGCACAATTTTTTTTTATTAGTAGAACATACTGAGTTAGTCTACTTGATCCCATCTTTCATCTAATATACGTTCAACTACTGCATATATCTCTTAATGTTGTCCAACCTACGGACAATTTCCTGATACATTATTGAGAAATGGGACCAATATATCCTTGATATACCAGCATTCTACATTTATCGATCCCACCTATACCCTGTTTCCACCTAAATAATGCATTATGCCATCCTATCTGTTGGAAAGAGGTGCACACACTTCGCTGATATAATGCGATAGCTACACCCAAAGGAATATACGGTATAAGTCTTGCCGTATGAAAGAAGCATTTCTTTTTAAACCGAAGCAGCCGCGTTAGGAAGAAACCTAAATACCAGGGCACCGCAGCTGCTATAAGAAGCTTCAACAAGCTTTGTTAATCCGATTTTTGAACCATTTCCGCGGAAATAGTAACCAAGTATGAATATCATATTATGCTTTTTAGGCCCAAAATTACCTGTTTGCAACATTTTCTTTTTCTCACGTTATTTCAATCCTCATTTATTTATATATTTAAAAAAAATTTAAACAAATTTTTAGAGCTTAGTGCGTGACAGAAACCAACCAAAATGAAAAATATAGACTTATTTAACGAGTGGTATTTAAACAGAACCAAAAACAGAGTTCATCTGTTAAAAACGCTTAAGTTAACTTTTGGAAGGCCAGTGAAGAATTTTCAGAGCCTTGGAAAACGGGGTAAACAATTGAGCTATTCAACAAGCGAAATAAGATTTTTATTTATTTAATTACACTTTAAACGTTTATTTACTGTTCATTGTCACTTTTGATAGGTTAGGTCTTGATTTTTTAAATTAATCTTAGTCTGTTTCTGTATTTAAACCTTATCATGTGATGCTTTTTTTTTAATATATTAATTTTATTCAGAAGATCCCAGAAGTTCGCTGTCAAAAAAGTTAGTGCAAATCGAAATTAATAATTATAGCGTACGTAACGCCCTCTAGATGCTGCACAGAAATTAAACGTTTTTTTTCTATAAAGATGCAGTGAAAAATGATTTAATCTCGAGATACAGCGTCTAAAATGTTTTAAAAAAATTTCGTTTCTTCGTCATAAGTTTTTTGAGACTACAGCTATTTTTACTAAAGTTGATTCAAATCTTTATTATAGGAAATTGACGGGATTCTCTCACATTCTCAGTTTTTGTAAAGTTCTGAGCATTTTGATTCAGGGTCCCCACAGCGTGCACTGATGCAGGAATATGCGAATTCTTGAAAACTGCCCACCATACCCACAGGAGTGCCTTTTGAAATTGTCTTTTTTAAACGAAAAAAAGTAATGGCCGAAGTGCAGTGTGAAGCGCCCTCTAACGCCCACAATGAAAAAATGTCCATATTCGGGTTTCGCATCCCAAAAAAACCCCGGATACCAATTTTTGAAGTAATACGTCAAGAAATTTTCATGAATAAAAAAAAGGATTTCTATTTTCTAACTTTACCACCCTGTATCTCGGAATCGGAGCAATTTTCAACTGAGGTAATTTAGTACAAATCGGCTTATTTTGGTCTTCTAAAATTTTGCAAAGATCTTTTAGTGCCACCATCTTAAATTTTTGATATTTGGCAATTTTTAATACAATTTTTAAAGAGAATTTCTTTAGCTTTCTAAAAAATCGGTTTACAGGAACAAAAAAGGAAATCTGGATACCTTTTTCGCGGAAATAGTGCCCTCTGAACCACTGCGCGTCGGTGCAAAAGGGCTCCGAGACTCAAACATATGAGGCTTGGTAGGATATTGAACATTTTCTTTTAAAGGTGGTGTTTCATATTATTTAACATATTTGTATAGATCCTTCTGTTATTTTACTCGTCATACAACATCCAAATATGAATTTACAATTCTTGCCTCGCTTTTGGGGCGTATCAGTAAAAATTGAGTTCGAGCAAAATTTCCGCATATCCGAGACCCTTGACGAAACTTTTTGACTTCAGAGAAGTTAAGATCCCTAAACGGAAATAAGGGACCCCCAGGATACGCTTTCGAAATTACATTAGGTTAGGGCTCATCTATTATTCTCCCTTCGTAAAATACCTGCAAATCCTTGTGCTTTGATGAAAAAGGGCAGTTATTTGTTAAGGCAGGACTTGAGTTTTTATACAGGGTGGGTTTAGTGTGTAATAATTTCGTTATTTTATAAGATTCCCAAGAAGATTTTTTGAAAAAATTATAGGCAATTGTACTATTTCATCTGAGCGTGGCTAAAAAGAAATTTTATCTGCAGACATATGCGGTTCTAGTATGAAATGTGAATCTCTGTACAGCTGAATGGACTTTATTTATAGACGTGTTCCAGAGCATGTATGTAAAATCCAATTTGGTATAATCTTAATCCGTTTCTATTTTAATCTTAAGCGTGGAGAAGGTTTGCATAAGTGCAAGTTGAATTATTAAAGTACGCTTTAAATAACATGCCTTAATATTTTATGATACTTCATTTTCCAGATTTATTATTTTAATAAGAATGTTGTCCTTTCCTGTAAACGTAATCTACGTCCTGTTCAAACGTCAGTTACTCCGCGTCAAAACAAACATAAGAACGCAATCGTCTGTCCAATCTTGACAAAGAAGGTAACAGACTATTTGATACGGATGAACAGGAATAGCCTCAAAGCTCTAGTAGAACTGAATACTGGTCATTGCAAATTGCGTCAACACATGAGCAGGCTGGGCATGGCGGAAGACGCCGAGTGCAGACACATGGAGGGAGGTGAACCGGTCAGGCATGTACGAGGGATGTCTTTTAAGTTTTGCATATGGAAACAAAACAACACGGTAGGCGGAGAGTACTACCCATCCCAAAAACGTCCGTCCTCTCTGCCGCACCCTGTATATGCAAAACTTAAAAGACATCCCTCGTATTGTGCAGAGGCTGATTGTGACTAACAATTACGTGCTTGAAGAAATCACGGGTGATTTTCCACAAATTTCAGATCATCGAATTATAGGCTGCGTATTGGATGTGCAACATGAGATTAAAACAGAGGAAATGAAATATAAACGAAAATTTAATGAGGAAAATATTAACACTATTATAGCTGAACTCTACGAAAAATATTGGGACTATTCATCAACAGATGCGGACCTATTATATGAAAGGTTTATGAAAAATATTACAGAAACTGTAAATAAAGTTGTACCTCTTGAAAAAACGCCAGCTCGCAAACAACCGTGGATTAATAGGTTCGTAATCCAAGCCGAAGAGACAGATACGAAGCTTATAAAAAGTTTAAAATAACCAAATTCAGACTGGAATCTTTATAAAA